GAACAAATAAATCTAAGCTTGTGAAACAAATGAACCTTATTAAGGGTGACTAAATCTGCTGTTGAGAAAACTCAAAATATTAGTGCATCATGTTGCCTTGAAATGTTGAGTTCTCTCAACAGTTTCTTTTCTACGGTGTACAATACAGTGCTGCAGTGCAATGCAGCACAGTCCCTAGCTCTCACAACGAGACTAAACTAAAATTTTCTACTAAATACTGGAGATTTGAGTTCAACTCACACCCCAGAGGCTTGAGCATAGTCTCACACCCGACTCATCATAGGAGTCACACAAAGCAATTTGAGAACATCTCTGGCTGGATGTTATGCATATTTCAGACTCATATTGCAGAGTGCTTTTTGTCTAAATGTATTTTGAATATATTTACATATGTTTATTCTTGCTTATATGTTTGATTTTCATTACTACATCTTAACTATATTTGGGGTGGGGAACATAATCACCAAATTATGCTGGTGTCTGGACTCCCACCCTTGATTTAGATGATATTTTTACAGGAGTTACTATAAGGACAATATGATAATAATAACCAGTTTACAGGGTAAAAATAACCCAACATTTTAGTCAGTGTGAACCAAAATATGTGCTGAACGGTCAGCCTAGCTTGCCTGGTTAACCTGTTTTACTGAGTTAGATAAACCCAGCCATGATTACGTTGATTTCAGCACAGCACTTTTTAGCAGTCATCAGATGATGATAAGCGTAATACAGTCTTTGTCTCATTGATATCCTGTCTGTGTACCATTTTCTCTTTTTCCTCTTCTTCTTCTTTTTCTTACTGTTTTCTACCTCCTCTTTTTGTCTCTGTATTCTCCTCAGTCTGTCATTTCTGGTCTTTATCATTCTTTTTCTCCTTATTCTTCTTTGTCATCTTTAGTTTCTTTCTCTTCCTTTATGTACCTTTCTCTTTTTTTCTCTACCTCCTCTACTTTGTATCTGTCTTCTTTTTGTTCTGCTTCTTTCTTCTCAACTCTGTCTATATTTTGTCCTTCCCTGCTCTGCTTGTCTTCAAACTCTTTTCTCTCTCATGCTTTTCATGTCCTTCCTTCTCTTTTCTTTCTTTGTCTTTCTTTATTCTTCGCATCCTCCTCCTCTGTCGTCTTCTCTATATGTCTGCGATTTTGTTGTCCCATCCTACTCTTTGTCTTCACCTCACTCTTTATAACTCTTTATTTTTGCATCCTCTGTTTTGTCTCTGCTGTTGTGTGCAGGCTGAAACAACTGCAGATCAATTAGAACTGATAGCATGCAAACACACACACGCAGATTCTCACAAACACTCAAATGCACACTCACAGAAAGGTCAAACAAGCAAATGCATGCTTGTCAAAATCGTATGCACAAATGTATATGAAGAAATATCTCACACCATACATATAAATGGAATGAATAATACAAATTTTGAACATTCTTTGCTTCGGTGCTGTGATGAAACAGATTTATTTGTTTGCATTCTTTCCTCCCAGACTCGTGAAGGGGTGCATGTGTGTTCATGTTGTGAGTGTTCGCGAATGTGTTTGGACTGTAAACTGAGTAAGTCTACGAATGTCTCTTTATTCTTACTTGGAAAGAGGGTATTTCTTTCCTCAGAGGTATAAGCAATATTCAAAACTGTGACTCTTTAATCTTATTTACATTCCTTGTACCTCGTGTTTTTGTAATCGGTATAATATTTTCTTCATGAGAAATGACTCTTCCCTTTAATATAATTTTGAACTCAATACTCTACGTGGCTTCGTTAAACCCAAATTTGCCCCTTGAGATTAAGCAGTTACATAATAAAACTAGAGCTGCAAAATACAAATATTTTGAAATTCGATTATTAATGTGAAGCTTAAATGTGAAGTGCTGTAACAATTTTTGCAACAACAAAAGTTCACCTGGTTAAACATTTTAACATGCTACTTCACCAGATGAGCTATTTTTTAATAGGTTTCACGATGAGTGGATGCTGTTTTTAAAGTGAAAACTGTGTTTACAAAATGAGATGTATTTTAAGTGAACATTAATTAACCAGTTGTACATAGTTAGCCTTGCTAATATACGTAATGTTCTGAGAGGACAAGCTGCTGAGTGTTTAATATTTTGTTGAAGCAGCCAGCTAAATACTTCTACTTAAAAGAAACCAATACAGTTTTCATTCCAACTGATAAATCACTTACAGTGCAAACTGCATATCCTCGGGGGAGTAGGTAAGCTTGTTAGACCACTGGCATGGAGAGACAGCTACCATTTACTCGCCATTCAGCTGCTTCAAAGTATTTTCTTTTCCGGCAGTTGAAGATAATGTTGTGCTTCCAAGGAAATCTAAGTCAGACTTGCATATGTTGTATGTGACTATTTTATTCTTCATGAAAAAAATCTTCTCAGCCTTTGCTTCTTTTTTTAACTTTCAGCCATAATTGTTCTTTTTCTTTCACTGTCTGCTTACACAAGTGGATTGCTGCCCTCTTTAAATCTTGTTAACTCACCGTAGGTTGAACGTCACTTACTCCATTTCTTAATTGTAAACTTTATTGATAACATTAACGTCTGAGTTATCGATATGACAGATAGTCAGTGATGGTCTGTGAAAAACACACAGCAGCACCTTAAACATATTTTTAATGTTTATTTTGCTATACGTACTGTAAAGTCATTCAAGGTTTTAGATACCAAAAAATGGGGGCTGTGCTATAACATATTGCGATGATAATAAAATAGGATTAATCATGCAGCCCCAGCATGTTTTTGAAACCCTGAGCAGGACCCACCCATTTTGCTGGGTTAGATAAACGTTTGGATTATGACCCTTTTAATCTGCACTATTTGTGGAAATTTGAGGAAACGACACAAATCTGTCCTGTACAAATCAGCAAAGCAAATCCCACACATGACATTACATCAACGTTTAGTGTTCTGTATGGTCAAAATAAAAACGAAAGTTCCTTCTGAAAATGGTCAAGCAACATCCTTTTTCTACGGTGTCTCTGTCACACAAGCCCTCTTTCTCTTACTCCCTTCCCTTCTCTCTGCCCCCCCCCCTCTCTCTCTCACACTGCCAGTATTGCATGCATTGGAAAACCCAAACAACCGATTTGAACAGAACAGTCTATGAATGTACATTTTAGGCTCTGATGGCTCACACAGATGTTTTTATTCATCAGAACGGCATACACATGAACGCGTGCTCAGACAAAGGTGGATTCTGTTACATAGAGAAAAATGGGGTGAATCGTCACTGCAGCACTGATCTCTGATAATCTTCAAGTCTGTTGTGTCTGACCCAGTTCGAGGCTATCTGAGATAACACAGTCACACGGCTTGAACCAAGACAGCCATGTGCTCTCTTGGCCCCTAGCACTAGACACCTCTGTTGAAGCTGTTTGACTGATAGAGGCTCCAGTCACTGATAATTTTGTGGAAGCAAATAACACTGTCCTTACATAGTCCTATAAAGTCTTGAAATGTAAGATCTTATTTGTACTATTAGAGGTAGTCAGTTCTAAGACGATGCTGAAAGATCAGTTTGGAAAGAGTGCTGTGTTTATAAATAGTCCACTAACAACAAAATATCCAGACCAAATTAGCAGTACTATAGCGAAATATCACTACTGACATGAAAATGTGGCCCATATTTTAATGTTCAAATGTAAGGCTTCCAGTATCTATTATATTAGTAATCAAGTACTGATTATATATATTTTGACAATTAACTTATATATATTTTTTTTTAAAAAAGGCCAAGCAGTAAAAATGGATTTAAGTGAACAAATTCAAGCTATGCAGCACATACAAGGAAGGCTTTAAAAATGATGCTATCAAAACACACAGTGGAAAAATACACATATATGTGAGTGTTTCCATCAGGTTCTTTTTATTACTGTAGGACAGACCAGCAGGAGAAGTTTAAATAGGCAAATTGCCAAATGGTCATTGAGAAGGTAAATTTTAGGCTTTTTTTTAGCTGAGTATTCATTTTTAATTGAGTAATCATGATAGTTTTATTAAAAATGTGTTTTCAAATTGGGAGCATGCACTTGAATCTGTATAAAATGAAGTGGGGGCTGAGTGGTGTTGTGTCTGCTGGGGAAGAGCTGGCTCTAGTGCGGGTAGGATAAATAGAGGTGGGAAACCTATTATGAAACTCAAGGCTTTGTTTTTCTTTGTTTAAGAGGTCATTGTGTGTGTGTGTGTGTGTGTAATTTTGTTTGGGTTTCTTTTTGCATTTATACAAATCTTTTTTCCAAACAGACGTTAAAAATCCTAAGCCCTAGTTGGACAGGATTAGTTTTTCATGGGGAGGGGACCATAAGATGCAGGCCTTCTGTAATGTTTATGACCAGTTCGCACAAGATGAGAAATCTCCATGTAAATTAGATGGGAGTGGCTACTCAATTTACGTACTGCTTTCACTCCAGAAAAGAGTAGAAAACATGTCAAAACATTTAATTTAGCCATTATTTAGTTTAACCTAACCTTTGGTCTTTCTGTGTTCTTGCCATTAGCTTGAAAATTCACAGTCAACAGTCAACATTACAGCATAAAATCAAACGTGATTGTCAATCAAATCTGTCATTTTAACATTCTAAGTTGTACATGTGAGGTAGGACGGTAACATTACATAGCTTGATTTTAGTCATCACAAGTAGTTTAGACCACAAGTAATGTTCTTCAAGTGCCTCTGTATTTAAGAATGAATATGAATATGATAGTATTTTTACTGACAAGTCAATTCGCATGGGATTAATATAACCTGAGATTATTTTTTATGCCTCGTTCTATAGAAGGTAAGAGGCACCAGAATCTTTACTGACCTAGGAGCGTGCAGTCAGTAAAGATTACTGATATGGTAGAGAAATGACACTACCCCTCCTCCTCACATAAAACTAATCCCATTCATATAGGGCTCTCAATTACTAAATTTCAGATGAAAAATCTCCCTTATCTAATGATTTAGCCCAGTAGAGTAAATATGTTTGTTGTTTTCGTTTTCACAGGGATGTTTGTGTGGTGGGAAATCCAGATGCTACTGTGAAGGAGTCAAAGGTGACAAGGTACGTATTGTATCTCATGCTCATTCAAATAATGCAGTGACCATACTGTGTTGCTAAAGAGTTGAGGAGTTACTTAACCACTGCATTGAATCATGATGAAGTGTCAAACTGCCCCAACACAATCTGAGAAATTCACACGTTTGTTCCCACTGAGGTCTCTATGGACCTGTTTACACCTTGCATTAACATGCATGGATTACATTAGGATTTCACTTGACAGCATAAAAAGCCAGGATACAATGTGAGTGGATTATGTGATTCAAATCACTCAAAACATATTCAGAGGTTGTCAGAGACGGATCTTGACCGCATTTAACACAGGTGTAAATATATGCAATTAAGTAAGTGGAAAAATGCGTCTGCCGAACGCTGACTATCAGGTCAGAGACTAAGCAACAAAAGAACAGATGAAGAATACGCTGAAGTTAACCTCAAACAAGTGGCTTCACGCACTCTGGGCCGACGAAAGCGTCCAGGCCAAGGTTGTCCATTCGTATCATTACAGGGAAAGGAAAAGTAAAAAACAAAGTAAAATGGAAACGATGCATGTCTTTATATACATTTTACACGGGGAAAGTACAGTCAGATCTCATCTGGTCAAACTGGTGACGCATGTTAGTCAAAAGTATAAACAGAATCTGGCAAAAGTTTCAGATGCGATCTGTTCAAACAAATGTATATGTAAAGAGGCTCTATAAGCTTTAGCTAAGAAGACTACAACTTCCACAGTGCAGTGCGGCAGCCAGCCAGGGGCCTGTTTACCCATGAGTGTCCAGATGCTGCAAAAAGAGCACTGCGAGTTTAAATTTAGCCTAGATAATTATGTACTATTCACAAAAACAGCGACTTTTTGTGCTGTGTCTGAGTAGAACATTTTAAAGAAACCAACAGCAAGGACTCTCGCCTGCATTTGTTTACCAAAGGAACATCTAACTTTGCTGTGGTTACTGGCAATTCAAAACAAAAACACCCACATCAAACAAAACAGATAATCAAATATGAGGTATGCAATCAACATTTCAATCCAGAGGATTATGAACGTCACCTGTGAGTCAGAGTTGTCCACCAAGTTGCAAAATGAAAGAAACTGCTCTTCAATCAGTTGTTTTTGAAGTGGGAAAGATTCTGTGATATATAAAGGCTTCCCTATCAGCATCTCAAATACTTGAATAAATTATACATTTAAGTCTGAGGTGGCTGCTGCTTTTCTGCTAACTGTTGCAGCATAAAGACTAATTGCCCTTGTTACTTAGGTATTTTTGATTATCCCTATTTATGTTATGGGGATTCGCAGCTTTAGAAAAAACGGTTTGCATGTTATAAGAGATAAGAGATGTTAGAATAAATGTAGCCTAGTTAGACTTGCTGATTGCACCCTTGTCTTTGATGACGTTTTGTAGATCTGTATTCTGACTCCAGCATGTTTAGTCAGAGTTCTGTATGCATCCAGAAATCTGTTATTGTCAACATACTGTTCTTCAGGAATTCTGTAGGGGGCAGCATGCGTGGTGGCTAGTTTGTTTACAATCTGTGAGGATGTGAATGCTCTGTCTGTCTGTCTGTCTGTCTGTCTGTCTGTCTGTCTGTCTGCCTCCCTGAAAGATCATTTAGCATTTGGAAGGCAGGTTACCATTTTTTGAAAATGTCTTTATCTTGAAATCCATTACTATTTGAATATTCTCATTGAAATATTCTGGTAAATTAAATTACAATTGCATGGAATTAAATGTCTGTGTATCACAGTCAAAGCAGTAATAATATACCTTTTTTGATATCTGCTTCTTGATGATTGGATTGTCAATGTGAATGTGACCAATCGGGCTGGCGATGCAATACGTGATCCATGTGCCAAAATCAAAGGCATTGCTTTGCTGTTTTTTTATTGCTCATTAGCATCAGCTTATGTAATATAATTACATGCAGCAGCAGAGTAATAGAAACAGACTATGAAATAGAAACAGACTATGCTGACATTACAGTGCTGATGAAGCATAAAAGCATGCTCTGATGTTAAATTCCCTCATTTGGTTCGGACCATCACAAAAATGTGTTCCCACCAGGAGTGAACAGAGTCAGGGTTCACTTAAGTGCACCGAGACCTGTGTTTTTTGCCAGACCACGGTTTGTTTCGTGGTCACACCAGAGTACGGGTGGTGTGTTCACGCCTGTCAAAATGAACTGAACTAAAGATAGACCCACAAACAGGGTAGGTGTGAAAGCGCCCTTTAGTGTGCTTGTAAACACGCTCCGTGCTTCAAGACCAAAAAACACCTTTTTTTTTAGATGTGACCTTTTACGTATGATGAGTGGGATTGTTGTTTAAAGACATATTTACTGACATTTTGTTATCACCAATTTCCCTTTTGATTTAACCTACGTCTCCATAGAACCATTAACAGCACCAGGTACTCACAGCTTTCTTTAAAATTACACAGAAAATGTAGACAGCACGTATCACATAGTCTAACATCAACATATTTGTGCTATTAAAAGCATTCTAGTGTCACCAGATACATGGGACTGGTTAACGTGAAGTTTAGCTGGCTGTTACTGTGCAAAGAGTTTTCGGATCTAACTTGCTCACTACATTTGTATTAAAACTGGTTTTCTTTACACCGTGCATATCAGACTCCAGTCCTCAAAACTTCAGCACACTGCCTCACTAACACACCTGATTTAGCTCATCCGCTAATTAACAAGGCCTTCATGAACTAAATTCAGAGCATCAGACTGTAAATGTTATCCTCTGCATCACTTTGGCCTGGAAGGTCCCCAGTTTGACATGCCAACTTTACAGTGTACACAATATTTTCTGAACACTGTTTGGCACTAGTCAGTATTAATGCAATACTAATTGTTTTATCAAATGATTCTGTTGCAATTAACAAGGTTGATTAAATCAAATTAAATAAAAATTAAACTACTGCTTTAATTGCTTAATTTATTTTTCAAATATCACCGTATTTGTTGCAAAACTCTAAACTATCACAATGTGACTTTTTCTGAATATCAGTCAGCCTAGTGAATCCTGCTGCCATTTACAGTAGGTAGAGTTTTTTTCTATTTTGTACAGTGGGTGGCTTTTTTGGGGAGTGGGGGGCAATTTCTAGTAGCCAAAGTTATGTAGGGAACGCTGGGCATGCATAACAAAAAGCCTTTGACGTTGTCAGATCCAAATGATGTGTTGGTTTTAGTCTGTGACCAATGCCAAATGAAACAGCTGCCCTCTAGTGTCTGTGTGAACAACAGGCTGCAAAGTAAAGAAAAAGGCAGTGAGAATGTGAAACTTACCAAAATATTAATAGTAGTAGCCTGCTGCCCTCTACTGGTGGATGCAAAAGATACAGTCTACATGTTGCTAATATGGTTTAATGTGCCATGGAATAGATTTAAGCATAAACTGATACAGCCATTGACTCAAGCCCCAGTAGACTGTGTAAGTGCTAGTGGGTGGCCTTCTGTCATGTGGCCAAGTTCAGAGTTAACTGTGGGCCACCCAGGTGTCCATAGTTATCTGATCGAGTGTGTCATACACTACTGACATTTGAAGATACACTACACTTAACAGCAATGGTCACACACCTGTAGCTCTGCATGTGTCTGAATGTGCCTCTGTGTATGCTCATGTGCCTTGTACATATGTTTAGCATACTACCTAATGGAACATTCATATCTACAAAGGAAATGTTTCCCCCTCATAAATGTGTTTATGGGAAACGTAACGCACTTGAGCCCACCTCAGGCAACAAGAAACATCTATGGACAGAGTTGGGTCAGAATTCATTTAAAAACTTGTATATGTTACTGACCTGTAAAAACTATTAAATATATTTTCATATATTTAATTATATTTTCAATATATTTTCATGTTTTATATTCTTTATTTTAATAATGCATTTGAAATTATCAAAATTTGATCTTATTACTTTAATAATACATTTGATAATACATTGTACACATTACATTTGTTAATGTTCCAGTTGTTTTCTTTGTTATAGTGTTTTTTTTGCGTAATATAAAAGCCAATAAAAGGGCAGCCGGGTTTTCAAATTAAGTAAAAAATACAAATTTAAGTACATGGAGTGATGAAAACATTAAAATACAATACAACCTCTCTTTCTCTTTTTTTTTTCTCTTAGGGTGTGCCAGGTAGCCCAGGTCCATCAGGACTGCAAGGTGAAATGGGACTTCCAGGAAATGAAGGCGAGCCTGGACAGAGGGGCATCAAGGTCTGTAAAATTAAAAATAGATGTAGAAGTAATACTCATCAGAAATTTCATTTGAGCCAGTATTTTGAATTTGGTAGGAAAACATATGCATTAATAACACACTCTAGAAAATATAACATGTGAAACAGGATTTTATGTCTTTATCAATAAAATGTTGATTTTGCATTTTTATTTTATGAGCCAGTGATCACTGGTTTCATTGGCTGTCTCAGTGGTTGGGACAGGGTGTGTAAACTTTGTGCCATAATGGGGAGTGACTTTTTGTTTGTCAAATGAGTGAGAGTGTTTATTCCAGAGGGGCGGGATGTTTTCTTGATCTGATGCAGCAGCAAACAGCAAATCCTAGCAGCCTGCAGAAACAAATGCTTTCTGCAAAAAGGGAAAAACAGCAAAATGGCAGAGACATCACTCATCACCATTAAGTAAAACAGTTTACAGTAAAACTAGTAGTTTGGACACCTGACTAAGGCAGTACTAACACCCCTTTTGTCAGAGATCACAGCTTGCGAATACGCTTTGATTCTTTCTGAACCTGTTTTATGAATTTTTCACCTCTGTCTTGCCGACAGCTAATAGTTGTCTGATATTCTTGGGCCATCTTGCGTTGATTGCATGGTTAAGGTCTACCCACAGATTTTCAATGATTTTCAAGTCAGGTGACTGTGAGGACCATTCCAAAAGCTTCAGGTTGCATTTCTTGAAGTACTTTATGGTGGAGTTTGATGTATCATTGGATCATTGTCCTGTTGTAGTAGCCAGCCTCTTTTCAGCTTGCTTTGTCACTGCTTGCCACCAAAGCATAATAGACCTACTCACATGCTTAACAGTTGGCAAGGTGTTCTTTTCATCATTCACTGCTGCTTTTTTTCTCTAAACATATTTTTGGTGGCCAAAGAGTTTACTTCATCAGTTCACAGCACCTGTTCCCAAAATGCCTCTGGCTTATCTAGTTTTGCATACTTCAGACATCTACTTTTATGGAAGCGTATTAATAGCAAAATAAAAATGTAATATGTAAAATGTCAGTGTATTGGTATGTTTAAAATAAATATTCCGCTCATATATAAAAGTTTTGGCTCAAAATTAAAATTCAAAATAAGTTTTACCATTTTTTTCAATTTTGCCATTTATTATGATTAATGCGCTAGTATTGACATTCCATGTATAAACTAGCATTGGCGTTCCATTTACACAGACATTTTTGACACCTTTTAACTGCCGTTATTGAAATTAATCCAGAACTGCATAACAATGCCTCATCTAATTATACAATAATGGTGTCAAAATCATAATTGGAATGTAATTTACTTTATACTTATTTGCACTCTTTAATAATGCACTTGAAATTTCATTAGCAAAGAGAACTGCAGGCTAAGAGGATGGCAAAATTCAGATGTGAAAAAGGAAACACGCCACTCCTCAATTACATTTTCTTGCATACTGAACTTATTCTGTGGCAAGAAGTCTTTGAAAATGCTTTTGACCTGATTTCATTTTCATAGACTTGACAATCTGTCAGTAATCTCGTCAGGGTGGGGCAAACAGCACACTCAAAAAAGGCTTTATCTGAAAACATGGCAGCCGAAGAATTTATGGCTATTCTTATGTTAGCAGATGCGATGAAGCAGAGAAATATATCCACTTATGATGATTACTGTTTCATACATGGCCTGATGAGAAAGCGTTTAATCAAATGCCAAATTCTCTGGTTTATCACTCTGGTTGATAAAATAAAGCTGAACTATTCACGTCCAATTCACTAGCTTCTTTTTCTAATATTCATTTCATATTAAACGGTGCGGCAGTTACATTCTGGTGCCTAAATGTGGCCAAATGTTACAGCAACAACATTTAGGTGGATTGGAACACTTGAATAAAAAACAAATTTCAGCCTTGTTTCATAAACTGAGAATGGTGGCTGAAAGGCTTTATAACCAGAGGAGCAGGGAGGCCCATCATACAGATTTCAGTTGGTAATATGTAGGGATATCTTGTACAAAGTCAGCATCGGATGTTGGTATATTACTCTGCCATCACCTCACCTGATAATACACTTTGTGAATTGTGGAAGGCCACAGAACTGAGGTAGCTAAAAGCCATTTGTAATGCTAGCTAATGTTACATTACCAAACAAGGCCCCAGTTTGCAGTTTTTACCAGCTGGCTAACATGAACCAGCTCACTATGTCAGGTTGGGATATCTAGGAAAATAAAATTGCAATTAGGCCAAATGCATTTTCAAAGGCATTTTGCTACAGTTACATTTGATTTTTGCCATCTTTTTAGCTTGGTGTTATCTTTGTAATACAGTTTCAAATGCATTATTAGAGAATGCAAATGCATATAAGGTACATTACATTTTAATTATAATTTTGATTGTATTGATTGTACTGTTATTGTATCTTCACATGAAGCATAAATATGCAGTTCTGGAAATACAATTTAATTTAAGTAAAGTTGTTGGAAAACATTTAAATCTCTGTGTAAATGAAATGTCAAATACTAGTGTACTAAAACTTGAATTTTAATTTTTATTTTGAATCCAGAATCACACATATATAAGTGCAAAAAAAAAATAATTCAAATTCAAACATAATATGTTGCCATTTTACATATTACATTTTCATTTTACTTTGCTACTGATGCAGGTCGCAGGTAATGTTTTTTTTTTCTGATGATTCATGTTTTCACAAGCAGCACTGCAAATTAGAATGTTGCACCACCACTACTGTGTCAGCTAAACCTTCCTACAGGTCCTTTATGGGGGTTTGGCTTTGCCTTTCAGGCCAGCATATAAGTAGTTCTATTTGAGAGTTTTCTTAGTCTTTCAGTTCTTGCCTTTCACAGTTCCCCTTAAATGCCACTGTTTAATGACATTTCAGGCAGTGGATAATGCACGCTGGAAGTGCTATGATAACTTGCTATAGCCTTCTCCTGCTTTGTATGCTTCAGTTAGATTAATGTGTTGTTCCTTAGCCAGCTGCTTAGAGGAGCCTATGATTTGCTCAGGATTACTGCATGGTTGAAAGAGGCAGAGAATTTATTACGCTCTGGAATTGTCATCAGTTGACAATTACTAATGACAATTCTTGACCTGTGATGGAATAAAAGGAAAATTTCTAACATAATAATTAAACATGATGATTTAAAAGAACATCATTAATAAAAAGTATGTACATTACATATGTACATATATAGGACATTGCAAGGTATGTATAAGACAGCAAAGCCCCTGAGGCTTTGTCTGTTGGAAAAGACCAGCAGATGCCTTCAAGTGAACCCTTTCAACCTTAAGCCACAAGGAGGCCAGTGTATAAACAGGTGTTTGATAAGCACCAAGGGAGGCGCTGGGTACCAAAGATGCAGCTTGCCCTTTTTAATGATTAAGATACAAAGAAGACCTTTTTAATGGATCAAATTTAATTGGGTCCGAAAAGTGAATTTAATAATGGGCAAAACAGGTTATGACACATCAAAAGAGAGAGAAGGGATTACCTCATCTCTGAAAAGTGTATAAAAACATGGAAGTTAGGTCTAGAGGTCAAGAGCCTAATGCCTGGGCTGAATGCACTTTCACTGTAATAAAATTAAAGCCTTTTTTCTCCAACTGAACCCAGCATCTGAAGTCTTCCTTGAAAACTTGAGATAGAATACTTGCTATATGTAAGTGAAATGTAAGTCTTAAAGATAAAGTAATTTGTTTAACAAATAGTCTGGCGTGGGTGATTGGTGTTACTTTAGGCCATGACACGTGTCTATCCTGTCCTAAAGACTCATTTAAGGCCTAAGGAGTTCTAAGACTTATGTAGTTTTCAATCTTTTGCAAGTACCACAGTATGTTACACTAACATTTGCAGAAAATGTTTCTTTAAAATAGTTTACTGTAGAGGTTGTGCTTAGTTCTTTTTTTCTTCAGAAATCAACAAAATATGTCATTTAGCCATGGGTGCCAAAGGTTTTGCATACAACTGTATGGTGGTCTTTAACAAACATGGGGTTATTAATATTTAAAATGTAAATGTTTAGAATACAAAAAAAAATATTTTAAGTGAAATGGGAAAACATTAACAGGAAAGGAATATAAAATAGGAAGTAAATTAGATATAAGAGAAAATAGATTTATGTGTTATGATAATTATTTCATATAGTCAGAACCATATAATGATCATATGGCTACATTATAACCTATTTCAGTTGTAAAATGATTGTCTTTTATTTAACAGGGTTCTATGGGTGGGCCAGGGAGTCCAGGACCAAAAGGCTCACGGGTATTTACCCTTCATTTGTTTTTGTATGTGTGTGTATATGTGTGTGTATGAGTGTGTGTTTGTTGCCTGTATGTAATATGTGTGTATTGCGTAAGCTTGTGTATCTTCATGTGTATTTTTCTTCAGAAATAACTGGTTTTTTTTGTTGTTGTTTTTTTTCTTTATTATTAGGGACTTGATGGAAACCCTGGACATTTTGGCACTCCAGGAATACCTGTATGTATATAACTGAGACAAAACTGGAATGCTAAAAATGATACAGTTGCAGGTCCATTACTTTTTGAACAGCAGTGACCTAACCTATGTCCAGCACTTAGGGCTGGCCCGAATAGCATTTTACAAGCTTCATTGGTGTGTCCAAAGAAGTACTCAAATTCTCAAACTTTTTTTGTTCTTTTTTTTTTGCTTTATTGAATAATGTATATTGTGTATGCAAAAGGTTTGACAACAACAATGGAGGGCAAAAAAAATATCAAAGGAATATTATATTTTTAAAGCAGCATTATTTGATAATTGGTATTTTTTGCTCTTGGACTCTGCAGTTGCAGAGTGTATTTCACTTTTTCATTGCTGTTGTAAATACATTGTTCTTTGAGCTCTCGTCATGGACAGCTATACACATGCATTTGTTGACGAGCTGGAATTCCGTTTCCCTGGCAGAATCCAACTCCCTTTCACATGTACGTGCGTCATGCAGGCATATGAAGGCTGCAGATTACACTCACGTTTTCTATGTTTCAACAATGTTCGAAATCATGAGTGTAATCTGTAGCATCCATATGCCTGTATGGCTCGGGTACATGCAAAGTGGAATCGGATTCTGCCAGGGAAACGGAAGTCAGCACAACAGCTGCAAATAACAACAGAAGAGAAAGAACCATGTCGATTTGGTGTGAGATTGATAAAGACTTAACAAACTTTTTGGTTTGAAATGAATTTATTTCTATGCATTCTAGCCTGAAATGGGACTGAGGTTAGATGATTTTTGGTATCCCGACAAACTACAGCCTACATCGCAATATTTCATAAATAACAACAGGGATGTACACTCTGCTGTCCGATTTTTATTGTTTTATTGTTAGCAATACGACTGTCTTGAAAAGTCTGTGAATGAATGTACTGTACAGTATTAACCTATGCAAAATCCATAGTAGATCACATGAATCTCTGAAGAAACTGTCAATCTAAAGTCCAGGCGAGTAAACACTAATTACCTGGTAGCTCAGCTAACATTACTAGCCCAGTCACAGCTTAACCTACTTCACCTCAAAACAACACATTTTGAGACGTTAGGTTTATTGATCGGTAGTGGTAGTATCACTGTGTAACTTACTACAATGCTGACATTTGCATCTTATTCCAATTTTCCAATTCCACCTTAAAAGGTGTAACAGTTATATCCTGGTGCCTGTGAGGCATTTATAAAGAGTTAGTTAGCTGATTCCAAACATGAGAAATCAACCAAATGATGTTGAAAGTTTTATTTTATTATATCTATACGATTAGAGTATAAATTGAGCTTGATGTTTATCTACATTTTCGCTGCTATGCTTGTATAGAAAAGTGTTTTTCAACTATTCTATAAATCAGTCAAAGACAATGAACTGTGTGAAATCAAATAAGTGAATATATGGCGTTACTGGTGGTGTATATATCTGAAATACTGTTCCAAAGTCAAAACCTTAAAAAAAAATCAGTATTAAAGTACAAAAGGTTATCAGTAAGGGACAGACAGACAGAAATATAGTTGTGACAGTGTTCACAGATCAGGTGAGTCAATTTGAGCCTGCGTTCATCTCTTTTACATGAGTATTAGTGTGCCAGTGGGTATTATTGTGCCAATGTTTGGCCAACTAACCAAAATACCCTATTTTTACACATTCCTATTTTTACACATGATAATGGAAAAAGACCTGCATAAAACAATCACCTGTGACAAACTCTGTTTGTGAACGTTTTACACAATTCAGGCTATATAAGTTTTTGATAGTGTTTGTATATAAAATGAAACTCCAAAGTCAGATAGCCCTGTTTCTCACTTTTTGATGCAAAGACCCATGATTGACTGACAGATATAAAGGGGGCCGTTTTTACCAGCCTGGCTTATTTTGAGCCTCTGTGTGTTTTAAGTAATATTAAGTAAATGCAGTGAAGTGTCACAGTCCACTGCAATAGAGCTGTATGAAGCAATCACATATATTGAGTTCTATTTGTGAAATCGAGCTCTGTTAAATCAAACACGTTCTTATATATTTTGGTGTCATTTTTATTGAATAAAAGCTTACATTTTACTTACTCATACTTTCCTTACTTGCTGTCTCCATAGGCCACAGACTGACAGAATTAGGACTGTAAAATTTTTCACAAATCAGCCTGGTCAATTTGAACCTTGTTTCATTCATCTGGGTGGTCAACTTTCCAAGTCATAAACTTTAGAAAAAAAATCCCTGAGGTGTGATATTGGTGGAGTTTGGCATGAAGAATGACGTCATGTGAACTGACATATCAGGACTGACAGAACTTCTATACCTGATAGAAGTCTGAGTCACTAACCGCATAGTAAACCAATTAAAATGAAAACAGTAGCTTGCAGCCTTTAGACTTTTTTTGTCATGGGACTAACAAGTTAACTAACAATATAGGCTAACAAACATGTTTGTAGGCTGTAGCTTAAGGCTACACTCAAGACATTTAAAAAATAGTCAGCTGAAGCCGTTCTCGATGCCCTGCAGCACACTTACTCCCTGAGAACATAGACGAAATAGTTGCGTCTTGGTCAGCACTTGCAGATGTTTGCTGCTGATATTGTACAACATTGTACTTGTGCCATTACTGAACTTTAATAAATCATTGCATAGTTCATGTCTGACCTCACTGCCTTCTTGCAAAATAGTGGTCCCATATAACACCACTCTTAGTCACACACTTCATTTTGTTGTGTGTAATGGGGGGTAGACTGTCAAAGAGTTGATTCTTTGACTCCAGAAAACCCAGAGTACATCACTAGCATGGCTACCTCATGTGTACAATTCAGCAACGGTCATCAAGAAAAACCCACCTAATTAAATATCAATTATTTATTATAAATAAAATTAATGTTTTAACCGAAAGCGTTGGACGAATATTTATGTATGTGTTGTTAATGGTTAATCAGTCAATCATTGACATCCATGCTTCCATCGTTAAGTCACTGCCATTTTCTCCTGGTTTTATGAGAAAATGTTTGTTTTTAATTTAACAGTGATAAATAAGCCTCTAGAGGGTTCTAGGATTTTGTTGGGCTTTAAAGCATTAACAAAAGACATAGCTTCTGAATACTAAAAAGGAAACAAATACTAATATGAAGGATGAATACACAAGTGTTGGAATTATTTGGGCCAGCCCAAGCAGCACTCTGTGTTGTGTGGTATGTATGTGTGTGGTGAGGTATCTACAAAAAGGATTAATTCAAATGTGTAGCACAGTATTCTAATTAAATCTAAATCTGCTGGAGTATAGAACCCAAACAACGAGAATGTGTTGCTAAGCATTTTTTAATGGAAAATACACAGTATATAAACAAATTTGTGCAAGAGACGAGAGCGAAAGAGGAAAGGGATAGACAAAGTACTGGAGGAGGATGCACAGGAGAAGGCTTTTAAAAACATTAAAGAGATGAATACTTGCTGCATTGCATCAGCTCATTATTGATTTTAAAACGAGAGAAAGTGTCTATGTCAATTTTTTGGTGTCTTTTCTTTTTAGGGAGAGCAAGGACTTGAGGGCCCCAGAGGGCGGCCTGGTGCCCCAGGGTGCGATGGTGCAAAGGTAACAACAAATACAATAATAAGATAATACATGAGAAGACACATTTACTTCAAGCAGTATTGCACTACCATTGCACAAGTACTGAATGGAGCTTGTGCCTTGTTATTAGGGTGAAAGGGGACCTCAGGGACCCCCAGGAACTGCTGGTGTTACCGGTGAAAAAGTAAGCCCCTAAAAACTGTCTGTCATCTTTCACAGCAACTGCCAAAGTACACTGAAGTCAGCAGCCAGCAATCAATATTCAGATATCTGACAGTGTGTAATTTGTATTTCTATCTGCAGAACCGGTATATGAAATCCTGGGCTGCTTAACGGCCTTTGTAAAATATAAATATTTATTTATTTATTTTATTATTATTATTATTTTTTTTTATTTCAGGGACAACCTGGTGTCCAAGGCGACAAGGTGTGTATTCCTTCAGCATGTGGGAAGTAGATAATATTAGGAATCAGTGGAAAGACTAGTTATGAAATACGCTACTCGCATGCTACACACTATGCATAGCTCATGCAATAATGGCATTAGTCTTGCGGGGGCAGATGTGATCATGTAACGAGCACAAACTTGAGAAATCTTGAGAATTTTGTAGATTTACCAGGGAGGGAACAAATAAGGTGTGAGTTTTCTAAATCAATCCAAGATCTCACAAAGGCGAACCTTAAGGGCCGATGATGTGCCTGTTGTCAGCTCATGAATGTATCCTAAGTTAGCATGGCTGAAAAGTCCCCCCAAAACTCTAGTCTAGCATGTAGATATGTGTCTCGTGTGCAGAAGCACATTACATGCAGGATAACATCATCTACAATAACAACGTCAAGGGTAAAACAGTTCAGTTCGCCAGTGATAGTGTTTTCGCTACCTAGCTTGTTTTGCTTGTGTTATCGATTAATCCAGATATTAAAAGAGCACAAACTACAGGAGTCTGAGAACAAGTATTAGAAAATCAATCCCACTCCATGCCTATTCTTATGATATTTATTTTGTGAACAATATTCCACACACTTAATTTAGTGAATTCTGTTTTCTTGAAACGATGGTCCAATAACAAGCCAGAAAACTGTTGAAGATAAACAAATGCATGTGCTTTTGACATGATCTTCTTTATCATTTGCGCAGTAAAACGGACAACACGAGACTGATTGTGTGTAATGTATGTAGAAATTTGCTGTGATCAGATTTTCCGCTTTGTAGGTCAGCTGAACACTGTGTGTCAGTGACTGTCGTATGCAAGTTGCAGCAGTCATGCTGCTCCATCACTCATTTCATGCAGAGGTAGTCAGTGTGCAGAAAAAGGACAGTCTGGCTCGTAGGATGGAGTGGTACTGGAGCGATTTCAGAGTGAGCGAGATCATGTCGTTCTACTCACCACTCTGCACCATTCACATACGCTGATTTGAAATCAAGGGCAAAATCTGACAGAACAGCAACAATTATTTGTATTCTTTGCCTCAATTAACTCACAAAAAATGTATTTTTTTCAGCTTGTGGCTACTGCACATACATACAAATCCACAATGAGTTGGGGCATTTCCCACTTCTGGCTTTGTCAGCAGACTGATTGGCTCTTTTTCCTAAAGGGTGGGCCCCCATGAACAGACAGCTTGTTGAGCATTACAGGCCTTCTCTTTTATCACGTCTGGCCCCGCAAGACTATATTAGCATACACAGTCCCATATTATATACAGTTAAAACAAAACTATACACTGCACACACCTACAACACACAGCCATAGTTACCTGTTGTCTCTTTTAAGCTGTGCACATGTTACGAGAGTAGCTATGGTCATGGTTGTTTTACTTCTGAAATAAACATTTGTTTTGTTCTTTCAGGGGGAAACACACTACTCTCATTATTCAGCTCCTCAGATAGGACAGAAAGGTTTGCCGGGTAAAGATGGGCCGGCGGTAAGAGTTCTAGAACAGTATCATTATAAAATTCCAAAAACACCAGTTTAGATTGCTGTATGCTTTAGTGGTGTAACAAGAATTTTCATGATATGTATTGTGGTTTTTTTTTTTTGTGTGTGTGACTGAAAGTACATTTTTGATATGGAAGTAAAAAAAAACAAACAAAAGAATTATCAGTATTAATTTTGTTTTTGTTTATTTGGGCAAAGTTCTATTGCCAAAACAAAACCTTAGCACCCGGTGAAACCATAAAGAAAATTAAATAATAACACTGCTGTAGATGATTTACACATTCCCTACTGTTGTCCACAGATCAACCATAGATATTTTTCTTCTCTACGTTTCCCAACACAGACCCACAAGATCTGAATGGGTTTTAAATCGTGCATGAATTTAACTGTGTGGCATCTTGCGTTCTCTTTTTGAAATACCCACTGTTTGTTGTGTTTTTCCTTAAGTTGACAGACAGGATAAACACTTCAAAAACAGTTGCTAAACATCAGTGTATGACAAATGTGCTGTGATCAATTGTTTTTCACTGCAAGTGTATAATCTCTACAGAACCAGAGGGTAGCATCAAGGCCATCAATATTACTGACTGTGTTTATGGGCTTTGAAGTTACTGAAACAAACTGAAATCCTGATTAGTTTCTTTTGCTTTGGTCAATTAGATATGATTATACATTCAGTATATTGATGTGATTGGTAATTGTTTTTGGTTTGGTAAGAGAATAGATGCATCTGATTATCTGATTTATGTTGCAGGGAGGGCCCGGATTTCCAGGTGTGCCAGGACCAGCTGGCCTGAAAGGATCACAGGGAGTTCCAGTAAGACAACAGTTTGGAATCTTTCTTCTCTTGCTTTCTCTACAAGCACATATATATGCATGCCGTTCTATTGATACAAATACAAAGTGAGAATATGGCATTTATTGTGTGTTTGTTTTTTGTTTTTTTTCAGGTGATACAGTCCAAAACACAGTAAATGCATTATTCTCACTTTGCGTTTTCATCAATAGCACTGAATGTATATAGGTCACTACATATAGGTAATAATGATATGTTCCTTTGCAAAACGCATAATACAAGGCAAGGCAATAGGAAGATTGACAGTTAGATAGCAACTTTATGCTGCAGTAATGGAGGTGACTGGTTAATTCAGCTCTCAACACAATCCTGGCAGACAAGGAGAGTTTCACCAGTTCCACAGAACCAGTGTAGTCAGTACAGTCAGTGCATTCAGTGCAGTCAATGCAACTAGTGCAATCCATACAGCTAATGCAGTCAATGGAGTCTGTACAGTCAGTGCAGCTGGTACATTCAGTATAGCCAGTGCTGTCAGTATAGCTAGTGATATATACCCTATGAGATTCTGTTCATGAATTCATGTGTGTATGCTTTAAGTGCATTTATTAACTTGAAAAGTCCTTAAGTGTTCCTTTGCTAACCTTTTCCCTTAAATACTGATTGTCGTAGCTTAGCAACTGTAACCAGGAATGAGAAACTTTGATTTTCAAAACTTTACAGTATACCACTACTTTGTAAATCAAATCACAATGTTACATGATATGCTAAGAGTTTGACCCTTTTGCTAAACTGAAGACACTAGAAAAGAGGTATATAGGATCTGGATTAAACATTGTGGAGGACCACATTAACTAAATTCATCAAAAACCAAATGAAACGCACAAGTTAGATAACTACTTAGTCTTGCTAGCTAACAATGTCTTTCTTTGTTACTGTTTAGAACAATGTGTAGCTAAAACAAATACAGCTTTTTTAAAAGTTACTGAAGTAGAAAATGGCCATTGCATTACTGACCATATCTGTTTGTTTTCAGAAATGGATGTGCAAATGTGCTAACCTTTTGGTTTTGTGGCCACCTAATTGGAAGTCTTTTTTTCTTCTCAGGGACAAAGAGGGAATCCTGGGCAACCGGGAGAGAAGGTTAGTCTTACAGTAGCATTTTTTTATGTAATCAGTATATATCTTATTGTATCTCTGAAATAATTTTGTGTTTTGCAGGGTAAAGAGGGAATACCAGGAATACCAGGCCCCCAAGGTCAAAAGGTCAGTGTCACACCATGTGTTCTGTTTAAATTGACCCCCTTGTTGCTTTTGTCAGTAAAACACCTGACTGCATGCCTACAATTACATGCCTGTATGTTAAATCAGTGACTCGTTTATGAAAGATTAAAACTGACAACCGGTTTGCTGGTCTTAATAAGACAGTGTTTGCTACATTCACTTACATGTTCATTGTATTGCAGGGTGAGAGAGGTCCACCTGGTTTACCTGGACAGAGAGGCATCAAGCTATATGCAACAGGAATCAAGGAGAATAAAGTAAGCACTCAGATGGTTAAAGAATGGTTAGCTCCATAACTTAGTACCTCTTTGATAAATACTCTCTCACTGGCTACAGGGGGAACCTGGAGATCCTGGAGAAACAGGCTGCACTGGAATGCCAGTGAGTACATAAACAAACTCAGAGACATGCATGCACTCATTCACAGAGAAATCTCACCTTTCTGTATGTTCTCCTCTGAGACTGTACATGGCCAAAAGTATGCCTAAAGTGTGTGCTTATTAGTTGGTTCAAAATATATTATTGAATACTGACTTTCACCTATTATACCAAGGATTATTTGGCCTTGTCAAACCTGTAAAACAGCTTGCCATAAAAATGTGATTTTTGGAGGGGCATTATCCCAGTTCAAAGATAACTGAATCAGCACTTCTTCATTTGTACTTTATTCTGTAAATAAACAATTTTTTTCATAATTTTTTATGAAGTTTCCATAAATAGCATAACTTCATGGTTTTCATGGCATGTCACAAAATCATGTATTGGGCGGCTCCTCTTCCGTCTTGCACTGTCCCCTTTTCCAAACACGTTCACTGCTTCTAATTGAGTGACTTCCATTCTGTTGTTCCAAAGGGCCCAAGGGGAGCGCTTGGCCGCAAGGGAGAGGCAGGAGAGAGAGGAGATCCTGGGCCTCCGGTAAAATTTTTGATACTGGAATATCATATCTAAACCTGTCTTTCCACATTTGTATTTTACCATTACAGATGTCTTCACGCTTGAATCTCCACCCAGAGCAAAAGCAGTGCTCAAAAGTTACTCTTTGATGGCTCGAGACTTTCGCAAAAGTCTCTTTTGTTTTTCCATCTGATTTCATTGTTGTCTAAGAGAAATTGCTGAGATGTTAATTAGATACTTTATTTCTTTCTTATTATGCATTAACTGAAACAAAATGTGACTATAGTTCATTCCTTGCACTGTACAAAAAACGTATTGGATCACTCTGTCTAAATAAAGAGGAAGAAAAACTGCAAGTACCATGACAAGTTGAACCAATCGTGTTATCGGATGCTTAGTGCCCTAGTAGGGATGTTGACTGATGTACTGTTCAGCACTAATATTGGTTGATATTGATTTGTGTTGTGATTAGTATTAATAATGAATGATGTCTTGATTTTTAGGGAAAAGATGGAAAGGATGGTCTTCAGGGAGAGGACGGTCTTCAGGTAAGCAGTCAAGGGAGAGTTTGGCAGAGGAATTAACCTGTTTAACCATATTTTATATCAGTGGTCCTCAAAACAATCCTCACGGCCTCCCAAACACTTCACAGTTTCACTCCAACCTAACTCACAATGCATAGGGTAGAGCATGGACCGTCTGGGGGGGCTGAGAACAGATTTGAGAATCACTGCTTTATCTAACATATGCCCAGCAATACATTTAGAGGCTGTGTAACTAATGTCCCCTTTAACTTCACAATCTGTCCCCAGAGTAGTTATGTTGTTAGGCATAGTAAATTGTATCAGTGAGTGGAAAAGGAGATTTCTGTGTGTTGCCACATTTTCTATTTCTGTATAAAAGAGACACACTGCTATTGTTTCTGGATGCACTCTTCTGAACAAGAGAATTTACATCCCTAGGGGCTTATTATTGAGTGTTCACTGTGCAGCCTTTCTCCTTTTGTCTGTGGTGCACCTGCACCCCCTAAAAAAGGGAGATAGCATGCCAGTAAAAAGCTCATCCAGCTAATATTCAGATCAAATTTACAGTTAACAATATGAGGCTGCAGTCTACTTCCTACTCACCAGCTTCTTGTTAGAATTTTCCCATTCCACCTTAAATGGTCCAGCAGTTATTATGATGCCTTCTGCACCATTTAAGGTAGAATGGGTAACTTCAAACAAGAACCTGGCCAAAAAGATTATTCAGCTTTGTATTAACAGTGTAGTTGACATCTAAGGTGTAGGCACCTCAGTATGGTGCGGGCTGGAAATTGGATAACATCAACACGGCCTCACTTGTATGAACCTGATGAGGAGGATTTTGAGTAAGAACCTGAACCTGAAAATCACAGCCTTTTTAGCAGCTTCTCAGTGGCACTGTTTAGCATTTTAACTATAATGTTAACATGAAGCTGAAGTCAGCTTCTAACTTGCCAGCTTCTTGTTTGAAATTTCCTGTTCCACCTTAAATGGTGCCGTCAATCAATCTGCTGGTGTCCATGCCCACACAGCAGAATGTTAAAACATTCCTTTTAATGTCATTTTTGGAGAAAATATTAAAATGTAATCGAGATATATTAAATTGGTTGCTGAAATATTTATTTTGCACAGATATTAAAAAATGTGCAGGGCCTTTAAATAATCTTCCAGTGTCACTGAAAACCTGACAACACATGCCAACCTAAACAGTGATTGAGCAATTTCCGAAATCACCTCTTTGAATGAGAAATTTGAAATAAATCACTAATGTTTATGCTGTTGCTTGGATTTTGTGCCCCACAGGGCTTTAAAGGGATTAAGGGATACTTTGGACCTTCTGGGATTCCTGGTCCAAAGGTCAGATTTTTTTTTAAAGTCTTCACTTTTATCATATATTTGCTACATAAATAATTACTTTTTTAAGATGACTAGTGTCTAGCCATGCCTTAATATTTTGATTAATATAATCCTTAATGTAAACTCACTCAACTTCCACTTGAGGGCAGTCCTATATTTTGGGTGTCCAGGTCATAACAACATACAGTGGAATAAGCCCATGTCCTTGTCCCTGGGTGTGTGGATGTGTGTGTTCGTGTGTGTGTGTGTAGGGAGAACGAGGTAATCCCGGTCCCCCTGGTCCCCAAGGAGAAGTGAGTTTTGTAACTTTCTATGTCTGCTGAATTGATTTCCCACAGAACATAGTGCAAAATATTTAAAGCAGCAGTATGTAACATTTAGGGATTTGGAGACCTCTGGAAATATGTACTTGCACACAACATGCTGAAGAATCCAAACCCCAACAAACCAGGGAACTAGATCTGTTGTCAAGTACGTTAATACATAAAGACATATGACGTGGTAACGTGCTCAGTAACAGGACCTCTTTCAGTTTTAACAAAAAAAAACTTCCATAGTGCTGCTTTACAATGTTTATATGGTACTACAGCTGATTGTTACATTACATTACATTCAGCAAGGTATTAATAAACAAAAAATAAGACAGAAGTATAGTAAAACAGTGCTTAAAAATCGCTGATCACACTTATCTGAGAATTGCCTAATCTTCGTTGTAAAATTCTTGCGGGCAAGATTGAACGACAGCTTTCAGGCCAAGACTCTCAGCCTGCTATGCCACTTAAGCAGAACTGAGCACAGTTGCAGGAACAGGGAATTGAGATTAATTGAGACTAATTGAGATTGACAGAATTATATAGTAAGTTGAGCTCTGTTTCTGTCTCCATGTAGATCTATGTAAGACGTGAACTATTGAAAGGCCAAAGAGGGCCTCCTGGTTTACCTGGACCTCCTGGCCCTCAAGGCAGTATAGGTAAGAAGACACATTGGTCAGAATCACAAATTTGTCAAATATACAAAAAGTGCCTTTCTCTGAAATTAGTATGTATTTTTTTTATGTAGCAGAAAATAATAAGGCCTTATAATAGAGTTATTGTGTTTTGTTTCAACAGGGCTAGTTGGATTTCCAGGACGTCCAGGCATTCCAGGTAAACAGTGTTTTGCTTCATTATATCTTCACTTTGTTTCAGCTATACTAAGCTTTTTACAGCTTTTTTTTAGGGAGAATCGCATGAAATGTGGAAGGATCAAGCAAAAAATGGGTTGGAGGTTTAGATTATATATTCTGTTACAATTTTCAGCAGTCAGTTTAGTGCGATATTTCCTCTGCTTCCTAAAACCAGATTTAAATTAGACTTTGAAACCCTCCATCTTCTAAGCATAGAGCAGTGAGTAGGCAGTCCTAATTTCAGAGACTTCACAAGCACATCAGGTCACATTTTGCACTTTGCTTTCTAACTTGCATTCATCTGCCCTTGTGTTTAGAGAGAGACTGAGATGTGTCACAGGGTGTTTTAATTTCTTTTACGCAAAATATACCTATTTTTTTCTAATCCAGCATCCTCTAAAATTGGAGATCCTGGGCCACGGGGCCAGCAAGGCCTTGAGGGGTTGAAAGGGGATAAGGGAGAGCCAGCACCATATGAAGTAGGCCCCCCAGGATTAGATGGACCTCAGGGGCCACCTGGATCTCCTGGTGAGCGAGGCCTTCCGGGACAGCCAGGTAACTAACCAAACTGTGGTGTGTGTGGGTGTGTGGGTGTGTGGGTGTGTGGGTGTGTGGGTGTGTGTTTGTGTTTTAATTTTCTGCAGAAGAAATCACCTCAAAGTTTCTTAAAATAAAAGTCTGTGTAACGTGGTGATAAGTCCAGACTACATTATCAATAAATCTAGATATTTTCTTTATTTCAAATCACAGGTATATTCCATTTACATATTCAATACAAGTAGGGCAGTTTCCATTTGTGGCAGAAAAGGGCGATAAAGCTCACCATCATTGTGGAGTTTTGCAGACAGAAAAAAGCATGTTAAGACTCAAAAGTTATACATTAGTACTAATGGAATCTTTCACATAGGAGCTCACAGTTGCTTCTGAGATTTGTTTTCTCCTGTAAATGCTCACAGTTCCAAGCTGAAGCACAGCCTAAAACTCCATCATACACATATAGTGCTGCTGCAGATCTTCAGTTCCTGTGAGTCCATGAACATATTTAGCAGAATGGGCTGTTATCCACTGTCCAAGTCTTTGACTAGCACTGGCTAAAAGAAAAATGATAACTTATTACTGCTCTGTGAATTCATTTCTTCTTCCTCTTTACCTTCCTACCACCAGCATTTAATAAAAACTGCATCGAAACAAACATTTAATTGCATTAAAAATCACATGCTTTTTTTATACATAAAAATCATCTCACAACTAAACAGTAACCCCTTCAACTGCAAGATTGTTATTCCGTTTTTAAGCTTAAATCTCTTGTTTTGTGTTTTGGTATTTTTAAAAATCCAATCATTTTGGGGAGAGACATGCAGGGCGTTGATAGGCAAAAACTTTTTTTTGTACCTTGTTTTACATTACATATAAACTGGCTATATTCGACTTGAAGACATCGCAATCCCTGGTTCCAGTCACCACCACTGTAAAGATATCTGAGTCTGTAAGTTGCTCTACATAAGCCATTTCACATCAAACCACTCTCAATGAAATGTGGGCCCCATACATTGTAATTTTATGAGGTTAAACTAAAAACAAGAATAAAAATTCTGGTTCTGACAGCATTTTCTCTATAGCAGTATGTCAGTATAGAACTGAGACTTGAATTTGAGATAACAGATGAGAGAACCAAACCCTAATGCATACAAAATGTGAAGAAAAAAAATGATCAAATCTATTGTTCAGTTTCCTGGCTGTTAAATCATCATAAATCGATAAGTGACCCCAGCCCTACATGGTACTGTAGTTTATTAGCATTTTTTAAAGTAACAGCACAGATTCATTAACAAATTAGTATCAGGAATTATTTTATAACAAAAATGAATCAACAATACTAAATTGTCCTTGTCAGATTTACTTAAAGAACTTTTTCGCTAGGAACAATTCTATGATACATAAAATTGACATTTACAACATGACAAAAAGAATTAACACGCAGATCTATGGCATATGGCAGATCAGTTTGGTTCTGATGCTGAGATGCACCACAGCTTTGCTCATGGCACCCTTAGAAGCCCCATCTTTATATAATGTTGTAAGTCAGGACTTTCCTTGTCAAGAACTAATTAGGATTCATAGTTGCTCAGTAACTTTTCAATAAATTGACAGTTACTTGGAAACTTGCATGATGCTAATGTATATTTTAAATTCTCTACAGGTCTCTCTTAAAGAAATAAACAGAGCCTGATGGATGCTACAATTTATGTTACCTTTTTTTTTTATTAATTTTTTAAGGAAGTTTTTTATTGCTTCTTATTTTATCTTTTTCAGGAAATTATTTTAGACTCTTATGTTGTATAGCTTATTACTGCTCTGTTAAATTGTATTGTCTGACCTTTTTTAAAGCTCTCATTACTTGATTAATCATTGAAATAACCCACAGAGCACTCAATTTCTAAAATAAATAATAAATGGTAACAGGCCTGTAACTAATGCAGATTCGTCTGCAGTCTGATGACAGTTTAATGGTTAGCTGGAGTCCAGAGGTTTTAGTGCCACAGTGGTCACTGTTGGAAAGTGGTTAATTTTATAGCTTTTATATACTTATTTTGTCTACTGTCATACTGTCTCTAAGGACTTGATTCTACTGGGTCATCTTAGAATGTTCTGTACTTTTCCTCTGCCTCTCTATCACTGGTACGTAACCATGGTACTTGAAGGGGAAGACTGTTTGGGCATCTGAGGGTGACTCTCTGTAATCCTTGTTTGCTCATGCTCTGTTGTGGGAGAACGGGAATAACATGGTGACCTGTTAACATCTCTGTTACAAAGACTTTTCTCTTACAGCTTTGTCCTCATAAGTGAACCACTTCATCTGATCTATTCACAATAACTTCTACAATGACTCCATAAGTCAACATCATTTATAAAGAGAGGAGAGAGACACAGAATTACCACTCAGACCATAGTGGGAGATTTCACACATTGCATTCTAAGCTAAAAATACAGAAATTAAATACATAGTCAGTATGTTTATAATCACACATAATCTCTGCATAGATGAGCACAGTGACACTTTTAAATACAGTTTATTCAAAATGAATATTCGCAACTGGTTGAGTACAGACGTCTCCCCAACAGCATGCATGCTTATTTTTGCATTGTTTACTTTAAAAAACTCTCTGTGACTCTCCATGATGTTCATATGCATGTGATTCAATGTGTAATTTCAAAATACCATATGTAACCCAAAACATAAGCACAGAGCATGAAAGCATACTTAACACAAACAACTAAATTACAAGAAGGCATAAAAATGCTACAAAAAGTTAAGACCTCTTTTCTTATGTCGGTAAATTAGACCATCAGTGTAAATGTGTCTGTTGACATTAAAAAAATATTTGAAATGTCTTACATATATAATCTAAACCCATACTTCTAATCATTTACACAAATACAACAAAATAGTTTGGTACAGATATTAGTATATATGTCTGTAGAGACATCTCAACATCCACTTCCATCCACTCTATTCTGAATTTTTGGATATTTTCTAGATGTTTATTGGATCAGATGGCGTTGGTTAACTGATGGTTGGTACTGAATGACCTGAAAGAAGGAGAGCAGTGTGATTAACATCTGTACCTAATGTTCTGATCTGTTAAATTCTTCTGTTTGTCTGAGTTTCTGGAAGTGCTTTTTTCAATTCAATGAATGTTTAAAATTGTAGATAAAGCTCTGAACTCCACTGTTTGATCTATAGGTTTTTATGAACGTGTGGGGCCTAAGGGATCCAGAGGGGAGGAAGGCTTGCTGGGACTCAGAGGTGCTGTTGGAGAGCAGGGGGGAGACGGTAAGAATCTCCAACACCAAGGTGTACTACAGACTGTCATGTACAATTACAAGTTGTTGTTTCGAATAAAATGCATTAGTCCATGCTGCATTACAATAGACAATGTTTCTTTCACAGGGGACCCAGGAGACATCTGTAGATTGTGCTATTTGTCAGGCACTGAACCAGGACCACCTGGAAAACCTGGTCACCCTGGTAATCCTGGAGTTCCAGGTATTGATAAAGTGAGGGTGTGAGTGAGAGTGAGGCTGGCAGAGAGACTAAAAGTAGAGCAGTGAAATTTAGTCCACAATCATGAATAGTGATTTTAAACAGTAGTGTTCTGAAATGAAAGAGTGACAATAAATGAATAATAATAAAATTATGGCTTATAGTCTGAACTGTGCACTCACATTTATCTGTGTTCTGATGTCTGCTTTTATCTGTGCAGGTGATGTAGGACCACCAGGCACTAAAGGACCACAGGGTATAAAAGGTTTGCAAGGTCCTCCTGGCCCACCAGTGAGTGTCCCCGGTCCATTGGCACTTTTTAAATAATTTTTAAATACTTAATAAGAAACCACTTTAAATAGCAGTTGGCAGCCAAAACAGACTTCTGAGTAGTACCAGTGCATCCATTAAAACATACAAAAATGTGCAGGTTTAATTTAGTAGTTGGAAATGGACCCATGCAGGAATTACTGTAACCATAACATAACCATAACCATAAGTCATAACTGTAGCAACTAGTTTTTGAACAATAACAACAGCCCTAATAAAATTTACAATTTGTAATGTTTGTGATTTTTCTGCTAGTAAAGTCAGTGCTAATTGTGGGTGGATGTGATCACATTTAGCCAGTTCCTAATTCTGATGTAATGCATTAATTGCACATCTCTTCTTTTAAGTATGCTTTGTAAGGAGTATTTAAGTACTTTGAGTATGATGATGTCAGCATTGTCTATGAAAACTCTCAATATGTAGGGACCTCTTGGCAATCCAGGAGCGCAAGGGCATCAGGGGCCCAAAGGGGACCATGGTTTTATGGAAGGACCAGGGGAAAAAGGGGACTTGGGTGACCCCGGCAGACGTGGTTTTCCAGGGGTGAAAGGAAGGAGTGGAATACCAGGAGCTCCTGGAATTAAAGGTCCAATGGGAGGAAAGGGCAATCCGGTCAGTACAGAGGGCTTTCAATCAGTGGTGTAAAGTAGGGCTGCAAAAATATTAGAAAAAATCATAAATTTTACTTTACTTTTGCAAGAATATCATGGAATGTATGTTCACAGCACATATCGTCTTGCAACCCCTATATAGAAAGTGAATGTTAATATGCAGATTGTAACATTTCATTCTGACAGAATGAATTTACTTCTGGAATCTTTGGGAGCAACATTGTTTCTAATAGTTTATTGTACTGTAAAAGAAGGAATCAGTTGCTGTGCAGACCAATCAAACAAATAATCGATGGGTAACTTATTATAGAAATATTTGTTACCTGCAGCCCTAGCAAGAAAACTTAAAGTTCTTACCAGATTTTGTATGAGAACCAGCTGCAGTGCAGGTGGGATTTTTGAAGAGATAATGAAACCACAGCACTGGTGGAGAACAGAATTAATGGTGCAGTCAAGTCGCCAAGGTCCTGAAGCAGCAAAGCATCCCTGCACCATAACACTACCACCACCATGTTTAACTATTGGTCTGATGTTCTTGCTGTGAAATGTGTTAGCTTTTTTGCCAGATGTAACATGACCCTTGACTCCCAGAAAGTTCGACTTTCTACTAATCTGTCCACAAAACGGTATTGCAAGAGGCTCGGGGTGTTTTTTGGCAAATGTGAGATAAGCCATTATGTTCATTTTGGCTAGCTGTAGTTTATGCCAATGCCAACTCTCCCATGGATACAGATGTTACCCAATTTCTCTCTAATGGTGGAATATATTTCAATAAGTTTTTTTCTTGTATGGAATTTGCAACAGAGTGTGCTGCTTGTTAAGACCTTTTTGCCTACCTCACATTGATGGAAAGGTTCTTTTTAAGTGATGTTGGAAGGGTTAGCAGTAGTCAAGCCTGGGTGTGACTAGTTTAATTAGTTCTACTTATGAATTAATTTGGTTACTTGGCCAAATTACTCTATCTAATCTGAATTTGGTCAATTAATTTACGAGAAAGCTAGAACTAGGTCATGTTTGGATCTTTCGGCAGGATGGTGATCCAAAACATACATCCAAATCCACATAAAAATGGTTTAGTGACCAATAGAATTAAGCTTTTGATATGGTCATCCTAGTCCTCTGACCTAAACCCTCCTGAAAAACTGTGAGATGAGCTGTATGAGAAAATGTCTTGCTGTTCTGTTGGCAAAGGCAAGTTGCACAACATGCTAAATGTCAGTAATTGTGTCGTGTTTTTGTTACAAAAGGTTTTTTTTCTTTGACTAAATTTACTTCAAAGATTAGGTTTTGCCCAAGTTTTCAGTGTGAGAATGAGCTAAGTGACTGAAAGTATTTGACTGTATATGTTTTGATCATACTAACTTATCTCAGTGTCCTTTAGGGTGCTGTTGGAAAGAAGGGTGACCGTGGCGTCCCAGGCACAGATGGATTGCCAGGACGCCTTGGGCCAGCGGGTGTTCAGGGGTTCCCTGGAGTAGGGGCAGCAGGGTCCCCTGGTGAGAAGGGTGACATTGGTGTAGAGGGTCTGACAGGGAAGTGTGGGGAACCAGGTAAGAGGCTAAAGAGAAAAGTGCATGTAAGATGGTGCTGAGAAATTAGGATCTGAACACAAGTGTGTCATAACGCCATCAGGGAGAGCTGTTTTTGTCTTTGTTCATGTTGTTTTTCAACACTCACACATTCACACAATTTGTGCCATTTTATTTGTATATTCGTATCATTGGATATTCCTTTGTTTAGCATTTTGCCATGAAATCACAGATTTTGTCTTACAGGTGAAAAAGGAGAGCCTGGAGAAGTCTGCACAATTCCTGGAGAACACGGGCAGCCGGGGGCAAAGGGTCAGCGGGGCCCACAGGGCCCAGCAGGTGAATTAAAGGAAGTTCAAACATGATATCCGACTACTCACACTGGGTTTAGTGCTGTTTGGACATATTTTCTCAAAAGTTGGGCTTGGTCCTTAAATGTCTGGTTTCAATGTCACATTTAAATTTTGTAGTTCATGTCCTGTTTTAAGAAATTTTGGCCTGAATTTACGTTGTTAGTTTAGTATCTGGCAAGCTAGTTTAACCTATGTTAAGGTAGCGAGATCCACTGAGGTCTATAGTGCTAGGATGAAACTAACGCATTTGCCTATGTAAAGTTTATCCAGACTAAAAACTTTTGAGGTGGTTTTTGAGGTGCTCAGCCACCGGACCAAAAAAGGACAAGATGAATCAAAACCTTAAAAAAAAGCAAGCACTGGCAACCTTATTGAATGTTTATTGGAAAACAGGTTGATAAACTTATTTAATTTGCCCCTCAGTGTTGCATGGAACACATTTAAGCAGCAGAAGTTATTGCTTTGAGGAGATTCAAAAATAATAAACAGTGAATTAAAAAATGTGTGTGTGTGTGTGTGTGTGTGTGTGTGTGTGTGTGTGTGTGTGTGTGTGTGTGTGTGTATATATATGTATATATATATGTATGTATATAACTGACCTGAAAAAAGAAAACTGCAATAAACTTGACCTAGCTACACTAGTTATAAAAATCACACAAAAAAAAAAATCATACATAACCTAAAAGCAAGTACTGTCATTAGAAATGTTCAGAATAAGTAAAGAGTTTTATTCCATCTCCAGTTTGTGGTGATCAGGTTTGGCTTTCAGAACTTGGGTTAGGAAAAGTTGGGTTGGGTCTGGTCTGGTCGGTTTGGGCTCAGGCGACATTTTCTTGGGATGTTTTTGGCTTCAGAGCAAAATTTTAGCTGCAATTAAAACTCTAACTACAAAAAAGAAATTTATGTGTAACACTTTTCTTGCCTTTTCCTTGGATTGTTCCAGGTTATCCGGGATACACTGGAGTGCGAGGGTTCCCAGGAACATTTGGCATAAAAGGCCAGAAGGGACTTTCCCAACCAGGAGACGTGGGAAATCCTGGACCCAGAGGTGCCTGTGTGTGTGTGTGTGTGTGTGTGCGCACGCATGTGTACATCTATATGTGTACATTTATTTGTATGATTTCACAACACAAGATACAGAAGATACTATACCTATCAAGTCCAAATTACCCTGACTACTTAAACTAGGATCCACATAGTCAACAATATAACATACTGTCTTCCTGTACCTGTTTTAGGTGAGAAGGGTGAGCAAGGTCGTCCAGGTGATCCTGGCGTTGGGAAACCAGGTCGCCCAGGGCCTTCAGGACCACCTGGGGGGCCAGGTTTGAAGGTTAGATGAATGACATTAAAAGACATCGACAAAGAATGCCTTACATTGTGTAATGTAAAAGTGTATCACAGTTTAAAATAACATGAGAACATGATAAAACACGGAAATGCAGTCACGCCAGTTGTATAACCTAACGGTTATGAAATATCATCAGACATTTTCATTTTAATCCACCATAACATCTTATTCCAAAATCAACCCCAAAAATTCTAGAACCTTACAATCATGAGCCAATACAAAATAGACAGTTGGCTTCTTTCTGAAAAACATTTGCTGTTGAAACTCTTTACTGAAACAGTGGAAAGTATTCAGGTGAACAGCAGCTATATCTATCCCGTTAATTCACCATCACTCCCCACCTTACCAAAGAACCAAATAAGCAAGTATAAAATGACCAAATTTTAACTTTCAAGGATTGTGCAGAATATTTGTCTCAAGACTGAATTTCTGCTGTTCATTTGAATTTAAAGTCAACATGATATAAAAGGAATCGGTTTTTACACATTGTTCCTGTGGCTGGTCACAATCTATCATACCATACCATTAAAAAGACAACATTCTTGTTTTCCCGTAACCTTTGAAAAAAGTGTAGTGATTTTTGTCCTTCTTAAAAAATGTCTCTGAGTTTTAATTACCATGCACCAGCAGTGAAGGAAAAGTAAAATTAAGCAATAATGTCATGTTAAACTCCTCCTTTTTCTCCCACTTGTCACTGAGTGAAATATTCAGCTAGCTCAGAGATCCTGCCTACCACATTTAATTCATTGTCACAGTATGGAAGGAAGATGTGGTATCTGATTCATATTGACTTTAAGAAATGTGACCATTTATCTTGGATGTTCAGTAGCCTCACACAACCTTTGCCTTTTTTGGTTATCTTTACCAAAAGTGTCAATCATTGTAGCCACCGTATGATCAGGGACAAGGGATGTATATTTGCCTAAACAGAGCTGATGAAAAAGCCATCCTTTTTTCTTTTGTGCAGATTCAAATGAATATTTAGAATCTTACCTATCGCATCTTTCTTGTTTTTGTCATTAGGGTAATATAGGTTTTGGCCCTCCAGGGCCCACTGGCAGGCCAGGACTGCCAGGAGATGATGGGCCACTTGGCCTTTTTGGTGACTCTGGTAGCCCAGGATGCACTGGATGTCGTGGACAGCCAGGGAGAGAAGGAGCACCGGGGGTTCCAGGTAATTACATGGACTGATAACCATCTGCAGATTTCTTTTGTAGAATATTTATTATTTTCAAGTCAAATTGAGACTGCCAACCTCCTGGCATTAAAAATCCTTTTTACTGCCTTCTGGGATTAAAAAAAAACTTGTTCTTCCTATGTGTGAGACATAGTGAACGTAGCAATTTTTAGAATTAATTTAAGCATCAATGTAAGTAGAGTGAAGAACCTTGGAGTATGAAAAATAAATGTTCTAGTTCTGTGTGCTGTGGTTTGGCTTTAGAACTGCTACATGGGTTGGCATCAGGTATAATCATGTAAAAGTTAACAAATAGCCTATAACATAAAACCAGCACCAGAACATATAAAATCTAAACTGTCAATCATCTAAACTAAAGCATACTGCCACAACTGGCATAAAAAATCTTTATGGAATGTTGTCTTTGAGAGCGTCAGGATTTTGACTGGCCAATGACAACATTCATAGAAAACAAATTGAGTTTCATTCTCTTAAAATACAGCTTAATAAATATTCTTTTCCTATTTCATTGATTAGGCTCATGACCAATCTGGGCATACCTATGGCTACAAGCCTAGGAGGCAGGTGTGCTGTTTAGCAAGTTGCTTGTCAGTAAAACACACAACTTTTCCTGATTAGGTGTATTTTTCTTGTATATGCTAAAAGCCATTTTGATTGGTTCATTGTAAATTAATTTTTAGCTGTCCAGTAGTTTATATATGCATGTCATAATTTCCCCATCTTGTGGTTAAACAACATTATTTCAAGACCATTTGAATAATCAGATAACTGCAGAAATACAATTATGATCAGACTACTGGGTGCGTGTAAACGTAATGTATTGCGTAATGTAGTGCTTTCTGCTTTGTTTCCTGATGCTGACAATGTTGTGTAATGTAGTGCGTGTAAACGTAATGTATTGATTTTACCCTGTTTGCACCACATCTGTTCGAATCGCCCCAATATCATAGGACAGCTCAACACGCTTGGAGGAGAAAGCTAACTGCCAAGTCTGTTATGCCATGCTGGCTAATAGTACACTGAGCAGCCTACCCACCCAGAGAGCGAGGCCAGTTGTGCTCTCTTGAACTCCCAGCCATGAATAGCTTTAGTGTCACATGAGATCAAACTGGCAATCTCCTGATAATGGAACTAACGTTTAGACAGTTGCTCCACTCAGCAGCCCCAAAAAGTTGCTTTTTAATGGCAGAATATTGCTTAATATTAGGATTGCTTAAAGATCCAGGTATGTGCATAACACACCCATTCTTACTAATTTACCCTTATATTGCTGTCAGGTGCGGTGGGATCTGTTGGGCCACTGGGGTTTACTGGCAATCCTGGAATCTGTGTTCCTGGATACACAGGTAGCAAAGGACCCCTAGGTGAGAGGGGAAGACTTGGAACCACAGGTAAGTAAATTCATAAAGATTTAAATTTGGCCTTAACTGCAATAGAAGCATGGAAAATTACAGAGACATTGTGGGGCAGATTTACTAAGGTTTTACATCACCGCAAACTCCATTTTGTCATTAAAAAGTGGCTGTCGTGATTTACCAAATAGATGCATTGTACATGCGTTTAGAGGAGTTTCTCTCTCAAAGCACACAATACTGGGAGGAGATTATCATAAGGAAGCACTTATTCTGGACCCCCACAGAGCAGGTATTATTTCGGTGGTGGATTATTCTCAGCGCTACAGTGACACTGAAGTGGTGGTGGTCTGTTAGGGTGTGTTGCGCTGGCACAAGTGGATCAGACACAGCAGTGCTGCAGGAGCATAGATTATACAATTCCCAAACAACCTGGGTGCACTCAGAGATTTTACAGCATCACACTGTTTCCAAATGCACTTAGCACAAAACTCAAGTTCAGCTCATCTCAACCTGTTGAAAATATGTTTCTAAACGAAGTTTATTTTCTAGAATTTCTGATGTATTAGGTCAAACTAATGTTTTGACATATTGGTATGGAATTTTACAATATCACACTTAGAAATACTAGCCCTTAGAAGCCTCATTTATCACTAGTGATGCAAAAAATATATGGTAATTCTTTATATGGTAATTATTTATAAATTAGTACTCATTTGTTGAGAAATTCTCTTGAAAATGCAGACTTTAAACATTCAACTGATACCGCTATATTGTATTCAAAAGGATGTAATAAATTTTCTTTGTAGGGCCCCCGGGGCAGAGAGGAGAGCAGGGTGACCCTGGACTTTGTGGGTTGGGTTTACCTGGTCCTACAGGTCCAGCTGGGAATCCTGGGTGTCAGGGAACACCTGGTCTAGATGGGGCGATCGGACCAAAAGGGGTCAGAGGAAGGGATGGCTTGTGTGGCCCTCCAGGTACTGAACAAACATCTGGACGTCACACACATGCACACACCTCTCACACACAAATACCTGCTGAGTATTCAATAGTGGGAGATCAGAAACTTGAACCGAAAGAACGGATGCTGTAGCACAAGTCACAGAAAATTTTAATAGTCTGGGAAGAATGTGTCACATACAGTGCATCACATCCTGCAGTGTATGGGACTGTCAAAAGTACCTACAGTGAGCATGCGAGTGTCAGAACTGGGACCTGAAACAATTGAAGAAGGTCACTTGGTCCAAAGATTCACGTTTTCTTTTATATCACATGGCCGGATGGTGCTTATTTACCTGGGTAAGTGATGACCCTAGGATACACTGTAGAAAGAAGACAAGCCAGTAGAGGGAGTGTAATGCTCTAGGCAATGTCCTGCTGTGAAACCCTGGGTCCAGGCATTTATGTGGACATCACTTTGACACGTCACCTACCTAAACATAATTCCAAACCAGGAACACCCCTTCAGGGTAATGGTGTTCCCCAATGGCAGTGGACTCTTTCATCAAGGTAATGCATCCTGCAACACTGCAAAGAGTTGCAGGTGTTGTTGTGGCCTCCAAATTCCCAAGAAGAACAATAAGCCTGACCTGTGGCAGCTCCATTTCAGATTATAGAACTTGAAGGATCTGTTGCTAACATTTTTGTGCCAGAAACCATAGGGCACCCTTGGTGGTCTTGTAAAGTCCATGTCTTGGCAGCTTGTTTTGGCTCATTGGTTTGTAAATATACATAGGCACATATCATTCTCTTCACTGCAGTGACATAGTGGTGGTCTGCTAGTGTGTGTTAAGCTGGCACAAGTGGATCAGACACAGCAGTACTGCTTAAGCATACATCATACAATTCCCAAACAACCTGGGTGAGCTCAGAGATTTTACAATATCACTCCAAATGCAGTTTCCAAATGCACTTAGCACAGAGTTCAAGTTCTGCTCATCTCAGCCTGATGAAGTTGAATGTTTCTAAACAGAAAGTCCAAATAATTACATTTTTTCCAGAATTTCTGATGTATTATATCAAATATGCACATATCATTGCTGTCGCTGATGATGAATTTCTTGGTTTTGGAGGTGTTGAAATGATTGCATTGACCTCACACCACATTAACCCACAGGCCACCTCCTGCTGGAGAGACATTTATCACAGTCTGAATTTAGTTCTTGATGGTAGTTTCATCAGGGTGCCTGATTATCTTGACCGAGCTATTTTCATGAATCCATGTGCAAACAGAGAACTAGAAAGAATTAAGAAAGTCTAGTATCCAAAAGCACAGTGTCAGTTACACCTTCATGGTCTACAGTAAAAGAGATCAATGTTGTATTTAAGTTTACAAAGGATCTCAATTGATCAATCAAACTTTATTTAAACTTTAAGTAGGGTGATACAAAAAAAGGGGTTGACAAGAGTAAACATAAAAGTATGATAGACAAGTATAGCAAAGAAAATAAATAAGACCAAAACATTACTATTAAAATAGTACATAATACATAAAAATTAGGAAACTTTAATACAAAGAAGATTAACAAATCAAAACAATATAGCAAATAAACAAACAAAAACTATAAGACACATTAGTAATAAAAATATAGATACATAAAATTAAGTAAAAAAAAGAAAAAATGGTGTACAGTACTAACACAATAATATTTGACAAAATACTAAAATGATATTAAAAAATATATCAATAAATGGCACCAATAAAAAATAATAACAACTACAAGACAAATAATACACACACATGGCCAAAAGTATTTGGACACCTATACATGGCACCCATACGATCTTGTTGAACAACCCATTCCAAAATTATGGTCTATAACAGCCTTCACTCTTCTGGGAGGCTTTCCACAAAATATTCTGCGGGAATTTGTGCTCATTCAAGAGCATTTCTGAGGCCAGACACCTGAAGTTTGACGAGAAGGCCTCATTTGCAATCAATGTTCCAAACATCAAAAACCAAAAACCAAACACCAAGGGTGTTCAGTGGGGTTGAAGTCAGGGCTCTGCGCAAGTCCTTGGAGTTCCTCCACACCAGACTCCTCAAAACCATGCCTTTTTTGGAGCTCACTTTGTGTACAGGGGCACAGTCATGCTGGAACAGGAAAGGACAAAATGGATCTTCTTAACATTTGGATTGTCGACTCCAGATCTAACCTAGCTTTTAATGCAGAGGGAGCAGGTCGGATTTCTCGCTCATCCAGTTGTGTTTTTGTTATGTGCCGCTGCACTTCCGCACTTCCAAGTTCCGTCTTTTGAGTTCCATCAAAATTACATTATAAATTAGAATTAAGAAAATCAATTTTTGACATTAGTGAATTTATTCAGAATCGTTCACGTCTGCAATGCGATGCATCCGAGAATCGATTTTTTCCCCCTCACCCCTAGTTAGCACTATGCATTCTGGTAGGTAGCATTTTCCTGGCATCCACCGAACCCAGATTCATCCATCAAACTGCCAGTTAGTGAAACGTGATTCATCACTCCAGAGAACGTTTCCACTGCTCCAGAGTCCAGTAGCGGCATGCTTTACAGCACTCTAGCTGACGCTCGGCACATTTTAATTTTAGGCTTGTGTGCAGCTCCTTTGGCCACAAAAACCTATTTCATGAAACTCCTGACAGGTCTTTTGCTGACGTTGCTTCCAGAGGCAGTTGGATCAGCCAGCCATGTTCACATCCCTTGGCTGCACATTCAGTTTTAAACCTTCTTCTATAAAAACTGTGTGGAGTAAGGATAGCAAATAGGTTTTTGATCACTAAGGAAAAAGAATAATGACACAAAAACATTTTGCTAGAATTTGTGGCGTTTGTTGGTGTGTTTGTGGTGATTTGTGATACACTGATTATAATATACTGAATTAGTATTGACACCAATATTAACTTGATTAAATGGATATACAGACATGACCAATCCACATTTAATACTGTTTCTTAATTGCAGTTGTTAGAAAACTGGAACACTGCCCTCTTATAAACTTTCTTGAAAAATGAATCAAACATTTTGCTATTTTGAGGGAGCATTTTTTAACAATTTTCTCCCCAATTTAGTCATATCCAATTCCACCCACTAGCTATACACACACCTTACCATCAGCACCAGGAAGGCAAAGGCAAACACAAGCTTCCTCCGAGTCATGTGAAGCCAACCACTGAATCTTTTCAAATTGCTGCTAACACAATGTCATTGGACACCTGAACACACTTGAAGGAGAGCACTAACCACCAGTTCTGTCATGTCAGCTTACAGACGCCTGCACTTGCTAGCATCATGCTGAGTGATCGGGAAGAAAGGGCCATTCAACGGCCCAGGGAGAGCAAGGCCAGTTGTGCTCTCTTGGACTTCCGGCCATGGATGGCTGTAGCATCACCAGGGATCAAACTCGCAATCTCCTGATGATAAGGCCAGTGCTTAGATGGTTGCACCACTGTGGTGTGTTAGTCTATTCTATATATTTATGTTTATGTTCTTTGCTATTAAAAAACAAGATTGCCTTAACCTATTAATGCCAAAGCAAAAACATGATTTGATTCCTCAGTGCTGCTGTTACAATTATTTGATGGGGGGGGAAACATGATCAAATTATTTTTTTTTATTAGATTTTTATATAATTTGACATTGAAAATACATGAATAAGAAGTCACAGACCAGATTCTTTTCTCTGATTACAGAACAGTAATAAGGGTTTACAAATCTCAACAGCACTCTGAATGAGTTTATGCTCAGAAAAAAATTAGCTCTGGTCGCAGACTCCTCAAATCTACAAGAATCTTTCATACCTTGCATTTGAATTAACGTAGCATCCGTACCTAACAAGAATGGGCAAAAGAGAGAGCTTGAACATTCATCGCCAGTCAAGAAAAGCTCAGAAACGTAGAAACGATATCTAAAGTTGACCTCGATACCGCCATATTGAAGGAAATTACCCAGGCCCTTCATGAACAACAGTGAATTTCCGATGCCTCTGTAGCTATGGCAGTGAAATAAGCTGTTGTTCTCTTACACCTCAGCTGGCATCTCTAGAAACTGAAATGTCTTCAGCATATGAGCCTTTAAAGAAATTAGCAGCAGATCTTGAACTGAATCCATCGTTGATTCTCTACAAGCAGTGGTTCGCTCAAACAAGCATGAGATTAGCGATACAGCTAACAAGCTGTCCAAGATGGAGGTCAAAGTGACAGAGTTGTGGGAATCAGCCTGCCTGAATCAGCTGAAGGGTCTGATTGCATGTGATTTTTACAGTCTCATCTCCCAAAGTGGATTCCATCTTTGGCTGGTCGTACCATTGAAATCGACCACTGCCATCATATATATGATAGGAAGCCCACAGCCAGGACCCAGAAGACTTGGACAATCATTTTTCGGCTGCTGAGGTATGCAGGTAGGCAAGTTATTCTGAATGAGGCTTGCAGTTCCGATCAAGCGTTAAAATGTCACTTTGCATTTTTTTTTTCGGATTACAGCCTTACCACGGCTGCAAAGAAGAGCAAATTTACACAAGTCATCAAACACCTGCAGGCTGCTGGGCATCACCCCTTCCTCATTTACCTTCCAATCCTCAAGTTTGAGCACAAGGCGAATGGCTAACCTTTAACTCCCCTGAACTTTGTATTACCAACGTCTAATAGTGTGATCTGATTGATCATAGTAAGATTTTCATTTTTTATAGTTAGTTTGGCTATTCGCAAAGAGGCTGGAGTAACTTTAATCGTTTTCTGCTAACTCTCCTCTGGCGTTGCAGCTGACAGTCACAACTAAAACTGTGTTTATGCTTAGCAAAACCTGTAGGAGCTTAGCATCCTCGCAGTTTGCACTTTTTCTGTAAATAGTTTTTCCTTCCTCTTGGCTGACAGCATCTAAGCTGTGGTTGGTGGCATTTACATTTATGATATTTGGCAGATGTTTTTATCCTTTGATAATTTTACACAGGTGGGCACAGGTACTGTGAAGAGTGTTGCCCAAGGACTTTACTTAGTACAGTACAGGGTGTTTGCCCAAGATTATTTGAATTCGAGTAAAAACAAACTTAACATAATGCCTGTTAATGATAATGAACCAATATCAAACAGAGCTCTCAGGGATTTTTCTGGGTTAAACCAGGTAGATACATGGTGTCCTAATAATACACACGAGAGGGATTATACTTTTTTTCTAATAGACAAAAACCCTTCCCTTGATAAATGAGCCCAAGCAGATATTATTCCACCCTTTCAAATCGTGCTCCTGTTGTGTGTTCGTTTCTTTTTCCTGATGTTATGCTCACAAGAGCCACAAGATAGCGCTTTAATACCTCCTCATTGCTGAGTATCTTTCCAGAGCAAGTAAATGTGAAAAAATGAACAATGCGATAACTTTCAGATTTTCTGGGAAGCAACGAAGTGTTTTCCAAGAGCATTTTGCGTCTGTTTTTCTTCCAGTTTCAACAGTATTAGATTTGTTGAACTAGAATCTACAACAGCATACAATAGCATAGAATCAAAACAAAAACCATGTCGTTCTGGCGATCCCACTATGCTTGCTGCTTAACAGTCCGAATATAATAAATGGTCTCTCTCCGAAGCTGAATTCATTTTACATCATAAAAGCACTGTTTGACATAAGCAGTGGCCATGGCTAGTAAAACAAGTATATCGCTGGCTAGCCAGTGACAGTCGGTGTGGCTCATTTAAAGGACCGTTGCAAAATATAACGCGCCCTATGTCGTGTGCTCAGCAGCAGCGGTCTGCAGAGAAGCCTCCCCTGCACCTAGTGTCAAATGATCCGGCCTATCAGGGTTCAGAACCACAGCAGCGTCATGATCCGTGACCCCCAATCCTTGAAGAGTGTTTGAACAGTGAGTGAGAGGTGAGGAAGGCAGCTACTGTGGTAAATAAAAAGAAAGGCACAAAATAGTGATATTAAACGAATGAAACGAGACGTGCAACTTGTAGTATTGCTGCAATTGTGAAGAGATTCAACAAGAAGCCTTATATTTCTTGGTTAAGTTGAACGAGGAGTGCACAAATTAGCTTACGATGTCACTGCCCCGTTTGCCGCCGCTCCGCTCAGTTGTGTAGTTCATCTTACGGTTCAGCTTCGCTAACGTTAACGTTTTATTATAATTAAGAACTTCGTTATGGGTTCAGCTTTAGGTTAGCTTTGCCTCCCTCGCTGTTCGCCAGCTTCGCTGAGCTAACCTTCGATTTCCTGACAGGATTTTTACTTATTCAGTAGTTCGACTACAATGTCAAAAGAAGCACATGAGAAGGAGCTTTCAGTGAAAGATCCACAGTTCCCACCACATATCAATAGTGTGACGTTGGGGGTTCTCAGGAGAAACTTGGACGACTCAAGGTTACAGTCCATAACTCGCCTTTTCTGAAAAATTCGTTAGAGAACACAGCAAAACCAAAACAACAGACGCGCTCACTGATGACTCGCACAACGGCGAAACTCTTAGCTAGCTCGCTGAGCTAAAAACGCAGTCTTCCTTAGCTAGAAGCTAAAAACACCGAGCTTAATTTAAAATTAATATTAAATTCTTTAAATTGTTCTATGAAGAAAATCAGTCAGTTATTTGTTGTTTGAACAAAATATTACAGTGTATATACAGTTAATAAATTGATGGGTTAATAGAAAAGTGTTTTTTTCCCCAGTGGGAGAAAAACATTATTTTGGACACTGGTATTAGGCAGACATATTATGCAGGAGGAGAGAGGCCTAGTCGTTTCTCTGCGGTGACATTAAGGGAAAGCTGATCTAAAGCAAATATATTTACTATAAGGAACCCAAGGGGACAAATTTAGTCTGAACGCTATGCGATATGAAAGATTTTTACTTAAATCTGTAACTACATGTCAGAAGTCAAGTGGGGTCCCTCTCAGAGTAGTTTTATTCTTAACCAGCTGGATTTATTAAAACTCTCTCCCAGTTAAGGTGATCAATTGAAATCACCCTTGACATTTGAAGAATTAATGATGCACTTAGGTCTCTAAATAAAGGCAAATTAGATTGTGGTATTTTCCACAGAGATCAAAATATGGCTGTCACTTCTTTTCTGTTAAAAAAGGGAAAGATCACCTTGAGTGTGCTAATGCGCTAAGACCCATTTCGCTGATCAGTTGTGATATAAAACTTTTGGTTTGAAGAATAGAACTCTGTGGATAAAGTGACACATTATGATCAGAGGTTATATTAGAGGCTGATTTGCAGATCAAGTCAAGAGGCTTTTATTGTCATTCCATCCATGTACAAGTACACAGTGGAGTGAAATTACGTTCCTCCAGGAACAACACGGTGCAACATGGAACAAAAGAGTACAAAGTGCAAACGTGCAGACGTAAGTGTGCTTACATTACATTAGACACAGTAAACAGACAGGACAGTGCAGCGCCGACACAGCACTCATTTCTGGATATGAGGTAGTGGAATAAGGTGCAGAGAGATTTAACATGCTGTGATCTGTGAGTTTACGCAGTCAGATAACATACATAAACACACCAGTTACTGATGTAGTACTTGAATAAACAGTGTAAACACAGTGTTAGCAGCAATGTTCCAGATAGTGCAAGAAGAGCATCAAAAGAGGTATGTGTGTGAGGGGTTTCAGATCAGTCATTGTGAGTTAAAAACCTGATCGCCTGAGGAACAAAGCTGTTGCAGAGTCTGGCAGTGATGGCACGGATGCTCCGGTACCTTCTGCCAGAGGGCAGCAGTGAAAAATGTCCATGTGAGGGATGGATGGGTTCGTCCACAATGCTGGTGGCTTTGCGGATGCAGTGTGTGGTGTAGATGTCCATGATGGAGGGGAGAGAGAGACCCTGATGATCTTCTCAGCTGTCCTCACTATGTGCTGTAGGGTCTTGTGGTCGGAGACGATGCAATTCCCAAACCAGGCGATGATACAGCTGCTCAGGATGCTCTCCACAGTCCCCCTGTAGAACATGGTGAGGATGGGAGGGGGAGATGAGCCTTCTTCAGTCACATTGCTTCATATACTGGATACAGCTGATTTGCCTGAGTCTGTGGCAGTTCTCTCTCTAGATGCCATGAAAAACCTCTATAGGCTTGAGTGGAAATACATGTGGGCAGTGCTGTGCAATTATGGGTTTGGTAATAAGTTTATATCCATGATCATGACACTCTTTAGTTCCCCAAGGGTATGCGTAATGAGAGGGTCCAAAACATCTTCTCCATTTCGGCTTGGAAGACACACCTTTGTCCCCGGACCAACACTCTAAAGTTCCCTGGAGTTGTGTGGAAGAGTCTTTAGTTTTTAGACTACAGGACTTATTGTTGACTGGAAGTGGTAGGACAAATTGTAATTAAAGACTGGGTTGTAGAATGTCCAACACCTTGAATATTTGAAAAGTGTTTTATGGGTGTTTCAGCCCAAACCTGTTTACAGACCCCCCCAAAGGAATAATTTTAAGTTTTGAATTTGGGGTAAACCATTCTGTGATTCTTTTTGGTCCTCTCAAAGTATAAATACAATAGAAGACATGAGTGGCTATAATGGTCTGCTGTCATTTTAGCATCTTCAGATGCTTTTCAAACTCCCTGCCTCTTCATACTTTATTTACAACTTTGATCGGAGACCCGTGGGACAGTACTCATGAGTCTCGCCCATTGGCAGACTGGATAAGACCTCTAGACAGTCTACGGGCAAAGTATCGCTCATATAAAATAGTCTGGTTCTCAACATATTAAGCTGTTGGCAGTTGAACAACTCTGGGAGCAAGAGCTGGTCCTGCTTCAGACTCATATACTATGTGGTCTAATTTAGGTCAGACCTCTAGAAATTTGGCTTATCAGTTTATCCACTACAAAATAATTCACAGAGCATATGCAGAACCTTACAAGAGATCAAATGAAGCACATTTCTAGTTACACCTGCAATATTTGTAATTTATACACATGTTCTGGGGATGTTCTAAATTAGCAGATATTCGGACGTCTACAGTGTACAGGGCATCTATGTCTACGGAACATCTATATATTAAGAAAATTACTTGATTTCTGTGTTCCACTGTTGCCGGATTTATGTCTCCTAAATGATGACTTAACTCTTTAGTTTTCTTTGAGGATGGCAATAGCAGGTTTTAAAGCTACCAAAAAACTGTCTTACAGTGATATCTAGTTTTCAACATATTGTTATATCTAACATCTAAGCTTAATAAAGAAAAGCAATCAACACGTAACTGGGAGAATGTGTATGATTTAAGAGCTCTAGTTTCCAATTGGATTATGCAGTGTTCTTTGTCTGGCTGTGTATTTTGTACTGTCTTTGTCATGTCTTTGATCTGTGTGTACATCTAACATTGTATGTCACCTTCCTGCCTACCTTACCCGCCTACCTTCCCCCTCCCCTGTCAATTCCACATGCTGATATGTTTTACTCTGGCCAGCATGGACATGCACATGCCATAACTCCTCTGGAGGCAGATTTAAATGATTTTAAGGGACCATTCACAAAGTCTCTAAATGGATTGTTGTCGAGAAGCTTTCAATAACATTAACACAGCACTTGAAACTGTTAATGTTACTAGATCATTAGTGATTATTGTGGTTCTGTGCTGTGCATACTTTTAGGTCATCGAGGGGACCAGGGGCCTCCTGGGTTCTGTGGCCCTCCTGGACCACCTGGAAACTGTGGCCCTCCTGGACGGCCTGGACCTAAAGGTACTGCATTGCATTGACTGGATCTTATTTTTGTCTTGACTTTATCTTAAATACTGATACTGAGGTTACTAATAAGGACTATAACCGTAAGGATGAAGATGGTGATGAGGTTGTTGGTGTCTCCTACCTAGGGTTTATTGGCACTGATGGACAACCAGGTTGCAAAGGTCTACCAGGGATTCCAGGAGACCCTGGCGATCCAGGCTGTCCAGGACAAAAAAGTATTTTTGAATGCCCTGGAGATCAAGGAGAGTGTGGAACCCCAGGTGGGTACAGTAATCCTCTAAAACTGTTGTCCCAAGAGCACTGGAGCATGGATACCCCCTTCATTCACTGTTCCATGTTGATCAATCTATATTATGCCTTCATCATACCTGTATGAATATATACACTTTCTATTAAACTAGCATAATTCAAAGTATTCCCTGTTTGAATCTATGCATATAATGCTGGGCAAAATATCGGCTATAATGGTACACCAGTATGGGCGTCACAATGGAATATTGATTTTTTTTTATTTTTATTTAGCGACAGACAACCGTCATGGAAAGTCCTCTTTTGAGTAGTTTTAAAATTAGAATATAACAAGCTGTGTTAGGTTAGTCCAGTCAAAACAGGTTTGCAAGACATTCTTTTTACTGGTACTCAGGTAGAATCTGTTAATTCAAACTTAAATCTCAGCAAATTGTAATGCAAACTTAAATGTCAGCAAATACAATGAAACTGATATATATATGACAAATATCATCATGTTTAATTTGATCGTCACCCAACACTAATTTAATGCATATCAGAAAACAAAACGTTCACAAATTTACTTTGACACTCCTCCAGGAGAAGGAATGCTTAAACCAACTTAAGTGTTATTTGTTGTGCTTGGTGTTATGTAGGTGATACTGGCCTTACTGGTGAAAAAGGTGACAAAGGAGACCCAGGATGTAATGGCAACAATGGGAAGAATGGAGCACCAGGATGTGCGGGGCCACCAGGTAACAATCTCAGTCCACTTAAAAATCATATCACTTCATCCTATTCTGTTTTTTCCCCCACCATTTCACCATTGCTTTTTTTCTGTCTCTTGTTGTTCCTGTTACTCTTTTTTCTTTCTCCTCTTCTTGTATGCTCTCTCTCACCCTCTCTAACTCCCTCTCTTTCTTTTTCTCAGGTCCTCCTGGAAACCCAGGCACTGATGGCTGCCCTGGTGGCCCTGGTCCCCCTGGCAACGAAGGAGATTGTGGATTTATGGGGTTGCCAGGTAACACACACATAGATGCAGAGAAAACTATAGTCCTAAGCTGTGTATGTTTGCCTACTTTTGATCCTATTGTCAGTCACATATTATGTTGTCTCTGCTTCCTTTCTGTCACCAGGTATCAAAGGCTTTAAGGGTGAAAATGGCCTCCCTGGAGAACCAGGATCTGATGGACCTCCAGGAGTATGTGGACCAAAAGGGGTCAAAGGCGAACCTTGCCCACCTGAGCCAGGGCCTCCAGGATGCCCAGGAAATAAGGTGCATATCACTTAGACCTTATTGCCTTCATGGGGTAGTACAATCCCACTGTTTGAAGTAATACATTCATGCATAGAAACCCGTATTAAATGTTATGGCTGTTTAACATTGATGGAGATAGAATTTGTCAAATTTGGATGTTTAAACTCTTGGCTGGATATTTTTGGGTGGCGCATCACTTTCAAAGTAGAAGTGACACTGAAATGTAAGCAAAGCCGTTGTACCCCAGCAAGGACCGATCTGTCTGATGCGCTTGTACTAACGCAACACACCTTACTGTGCCAGTTAAGTGGTGTGCCGAGAACGCTCAGTAAATATTTTATATTCTCACGAACGTGCTGTTGGACTTCCGAAGATTGGTCTTGATTCTTTTTCTAGGTTCAAGCCTCTCTTTCTCTCACACACCCTCCCCCCTTTTAGGGTGTGCAGGGCATTTCAGGCAGAAAAGGACAAAAGGGAGAAAGAGGACTGTGTGGCCCTGTAGGATGTCCAGGTCCAGATGGACCCTGTGGAGCCAAAGGAAATGATGGACCACCAGGCACACCAGGTATTATCATCTATCACTCAGTTCTAACCTCTCTTTATTTTTCTTGTTCATTTTCTGATCCTTCTCATCTCTCTTCTTACGCTATAAAAAGTGTAACGCAATACACCGTGTCAGAATTTCTAGAGCTTTATGAGTGTACAGTTTCCGAACACTTGCTTTTGGAGTACACCATATTGCCAAAAGTATTCACTCACCCATCCAAATAATTGAATTCAGGTGTTCCAATCACTTCCGTAGCCACAGGTGTACAAAACCAAGCACCTAGGCATGCAGACTGCTTCTACAAACATTTGTGAAAGAATGGGTCACTCTCAGGAGCTCAGTGAATTCCAACGTGGTACTGTAATAGGATGCTGCCTGTGCAACAAGTCCAGTTATGAAATTTCCTTGCTACTAAATATTCCACGGTCAACTGTCAGTGGTATTATAACAATGTGGAAGCAATTGGGAACCACAGCAACTCAGCCACAAAGTGGTAGGCCACGTAAAATGACTGCACTGTGCCAAGTGTAAAGTTTGGTGGAGGGGGGATTATGGTGTGGGGTTGTTTTTCAGGAGTTGGGCTTGGCCCCTTAGTTCCAGTGAAAGGAACTCTTAATGCTTCAGCATACCAAGAGATTTTGGACAATTTCATGCTCCCAACTTTGTAGGAACAGTTTGGGGATGGCCCCTTCCTGTTCCAACATGACTGCGCACCAGTGCACAAAGCAAGGTCCATAAAGACATGGATGAGCGAGTTTGGTGTGGAGAACCTGACTGGCCTGCACAGAGTCCTGACCTCAACCCGATAGAACACCTTTGGGATGAATTAGAGTGGAGACTGCGAGCCAGGCCTTCTCGTCCAACATCAGTGTCTGACCTCACAAATGCGCTTCTGGAAGAATGGTCAAAAATTCCCATAAACACACTCCTAAACCTTGTGGAAAGCCTTTCCAAAAGAGTTGAAGCTGTTATAGCTGCAAAGAGTGGGCCAACATCATATTAAACCCTGTGGATTAAGAATAGAATGTCACTCAAGTTCATATGCACATATCTCTGCTACAGATTAAAAAGATAAACATCAGTAGTAAGGCTGAAAGTGTTACAACTAACTCCATAAGCAGGGTTAGTGGTAACACATGGACAAGTAACAAGTTGTAAATGTCACTAAAAAGTAGGGGAGGGAGAAAAATTTGATACAGCATCTTATTGTGATGTTTTGCATAGCAATATTGTATCGATACATAGGTGCCCAATATTGTTACATGTGTATGTATACTTTGTTACATAAAGTGCAAATATGAGTGAATCTTTTTGGTACTAAAATAACTTGATCAATTGCTTTTTTTAGTCCACTAGATGGTGCTGAGTTTTTCTGGTGAGGTCAGCAGAGGTGGAAGGACAAAGGACATGGATATGACACATGATTTAAAAGGAGTGTCGTACGAAAATAAAATACTCAGAGAATACTACGAGCATGGAGGCTCACCTCACACGCCACCATCCAGAAATAGAAATGGTGTTAACCGATGACTGCAAACAAGGCTGAAGTTGACTTCCTATTCATCAGCCTCTTGTTCAGATTTTTCCCTTAAATGGTACAGCTGTTATAGCCTCAGGCACCAAAAGATAATAGTTCTACAAACTTTTTAGTGGTCATTCATAACTTCTTGTTTCACTGGGGTAATAGGGAGCTTCTTGTTCGAATTTTAAGCTTCTTTTTCACCAGCTTCTTGTTTGAATTTTTCCGTTCCACCTTAAATGAAAGAAGAAAAAAAAATCGAAGTCGGCAAAGCCAACATTGAATCAGCTTCACCAAAGCTACATTCCATTTCTGAGCAAGCTAAAAAATAGCATAATCCATCACTTACTTCATGTGCAAAGACCTGCGTACATACAGCAGCTCAGCACGGTCAACACTCTCGTCAACACTCTTTCTCTACAGAGAAGTGAAGCTTAAAGTTGAGGAATCTTTGAGTACAGCAGGAAGGACTGCATTAATGTGCGATGCATGGACGTCAAGGACAGTGGATTCCTATGTGACAGCGTGTTATGTCTGTGCTGTCTCATGAACTGCTGTCTCACGTTTTCCAAGCTAGACCAGGACATAAAAGTTACACCTGGGCAGACATTGCAGACTCCCTGCAAAATGTAGCACAAGAATAGGAGATTGGCAATAAAACCTGGTGGTTGTATCTGTCTCACAGTGTTTTGTAGTTTTTCTGGATGCTAAAAGTCGTTTGTTTCAGCCTGGCATGCAAAGCAATAAATTCATCTAAATTCATCTTGGTCGGTCTTTGTCAGTATCATGCAAGATAAGCCTTGAATGTTTGTAACCTCCTGTAATAAAATTCTGTAGTATTACTATACTTTGCAAGTCAACATGGTTCTTTCTCTTCTGATATTCTTTGCAGCATTGTGCCGGATTCCGTCTTGCTGGCAGAATTCGACTCCCCTTCGCATGCATGAGCGTCACACGGGTATATGGACACTACAGATTACGTTTGCGATTTTGGTTGTTTACACGTAGAATCAACTGAAATCGCTAGTATAATCTGTATTGTCCATATGCCTCGGTGATACACGTGCATGTGAAGGGGATTTGAATTCTGTATCCTTCAGCTCGTCAACAAACGCACGTGTACATGAGTGAGGCTCACATCGTGATTATTGTTTACGACAGTGGTTTAAAAGAGAAATACACTCTGAAACTGTAGGGGGAGCCCAAGAGTAAAAAATACCAATTCTCGTATAATGCTGCTTTAGGTATCATGATTGTATTGTAGCATCACCAGGGATCAAACTCGCGATCTTCCGATGATAGGGCCAACGCTTAGATGGTTGCAACACTCAGGAGCCTGTTTTGCATTTACATGGATGGATATGGACTTCTATCATTTTTCAGTTACACATTGTGTTAAAACTAACCCCAAAGGGCAGAAACTGTTCTTTAGCCTGGCAAGCTATAGTACATCCTCCACATGGGTGGTTAAAATAATAAAGCCGTGACTTCTGTGACTTTTTTTCCACAACTCAGTAATCAAAAAACACTTGTGTTTTGGTATAGAGGTTTTTGGTTTTTGTTCATGTAGAGTAATGTATCTCACTTACTCCCTCTCTTTCTCTCTCTTTCTTTCTCCAGGATGCCCAGGGCCACCTGGAGAAAGAGGTTGCGATGGAAATCCAGGTCCCCCAGGTTGTCCAGGACCACCAGGCCCTCTGGGTATTTCCTTCATTTAGTTTATGTTGTGTGTGTGTGTGTGTGTGTGTGTGTGTGTGTGTGTGTGTCCTGTGTGCATCCATATAATGTATGCATTTCTGCTTGTTCTTCTCTAAATTCATATTTAATTTCATAAAATTGTTTTGTGTTAGTGATGTTTCTGTTTCTTATTTCTGTATATTAGGTTGTCCAGGCTTACCAGGTGATCCAGGGTGTGCAGGGCCCAGAGGAAGCCAGGGCAAAGATGGCATCCCTGGACCTCCTGGATTGAAAGGAGAGAAAGGGGGTAAAGACTTTGCACAAACATGCAAATGCATTATCAGTCCCAGATGCTTAGGAGATCATTCTGCTGAATTGGTTCAAATTCAGTTTGACACATTTCAGACTTTTAACTGACTTGGACTAAAATCCTTTTGCTTCGTACACAGCTCATAATAATTTTCATTAAATCACAAAAAGGTTTACTTAATTGCAAAAAATGTGACAATTCAAAGTGATTTCACTACAAAAATTCACTACAAAATAACTGGTTTAAACTGCTCACTATATGGCTATAAGGGGTGCAGGGGTGTGGCTAAAGTAAGGCACTGCCTATGGACTAAAACTCTTCAGGCCAGATTCATGCGGTAGCAGCTGTACACCACTCAAAATGTGTGGCGTTGTAAATAAGAGTTATTCAGAAAGTCACTGTGGCTGTGATCAGCACAAATCGAAAATTAGGATGAAAAGCTTGCTTGCAATAAAATCAGTTCGAGCATCGAGAATCTCAACAACCCAAATTACTTTTCAATTATTTAGATCCCAAAATAAAACTCTTTCCATACAGAGGAAGGGGGTTTCGCAAAACATGTTTGGAAACATTTATAGAAAATATAATTTAATCAGTATTATTATTAACAGGCATCATTTTTAGGGAATTGTGTGATTGAGTCAATACCGCCAAAAATGGTCATCGCCCAGGAAACACACGGCGATGCCTCACTTTGCATAAGTGGTAAAACACTTGGTAATCCTTGTTTATGATTGAGTAAACATGTTACCACCATGCTGGTCGCGCTTAACGTAACAATAAATCTGGCACTCCCCAATTAAAAGTACCCTATACATGATGATTTTGTGTATATTTAGGCCCAATCCCATTTCTTCTTTTTACCCCTACCCTTCTTTTTATCCCTACCATTTTAGTTACATTTAGTGCATCATATGCTTTCAAAGAGGGGGTATAAGATAATTATTTATTATTGCCCATCCCTGATTCTTTAGTAATATGACGTTGAAGTCAGCTATCGCCAGTTTCTTGTTTGAATCGTTTCAGTTACATTCTGGCATTTCAGTCGTCAATACTGCTGGATTATTTAAGGTGGAACGGTAAGGTTAGCTAGCTAGCTACCGAGACATTAGCATGCTATTAGAGATTTTTTTATGCTTGTTATGAAGAAAACGACCATAATACATTGAAAAGACATTAAACTAAGATAATACAATGGTTATCATGATTTTTTTAATTTATCTAAGGTCTGAATAATTTTAAACCTGAGGGACTGCGGTTTGAACTCATTTTGTAGAATGGTCAATTATAGTAGCACAACAATACATGTACAGCTGTGTATTTGCCAACCATGCACAAAGACAGCCTGACAACATGCAGCTACCCACATGAACACAAACAATGTTTCAACTTAATTGTAATTTCCTTTTTTAGTTCCTGGATATGGATCACCAGGGCCACCTGGTGCTATGGGTGGGCAAGGTAAGTGTCCATTACAAATAACATTTTGTGCCTGATATAACACCAGATTCTGCACCTCCTCAAGTGGGAGTGTTTGTTTCTTGCATGTTTTGGTGGCATTCTCGGTGGCAGAAGTACATGCAGCTTACAACTAGTTGTAACATAGTCATTTTGCTTTAATATCATTACAAAGCTCTTCATTTTTAGCAATTCTGTACACATGTATGAGTACAAATGTTTAATCCTTATGTGATCTTATTGTTTTCAGATCAAATCACATTTTAGATTATTTTTTCCGATGTGCTGCATTCTTCTTGCATTTAAAAATCATGTTATACAATATTCAGTATTGTTGGTATGCCCAGTTGTAAATGCTATCAGACTGGACAGTTGCGAAGAAATTAGTGGCCAAAATATTGCAAAAATGGCAAAGCCTTTTTCTGCGTCATTCCATGCAAATGACAGAGTCTGTAATTGGACCCATGCAGTGGTGTGAAAAAGTATTTGCCCTTTGCCCAGTTTCTTGTATTTATGCTTGTATTTGTTTGTCACATTTGAATGTTTCAGATCGTCCAACTAATTTTAATATAAGATAAAAACAACACGGGTGAACACAAAATGCATCTTTTAAATGATCATTCCTTTTATTGAAGATAAAGATTTATTTAAAACCTGTATCACCCATGTGAAAAAGTAATTGCCCCCTCAACCAAATAACTGATTGTGCCACTCTTGGCAGTAACAACTGCAATAAAACATTTGCAGTAACTTGCACTGAGTCTTTTACATCACTGTGGAGGAATTTTGGAATCTATAAATGGACAAATGACACATGACCTGCCCTTTTAAGGTCCTGCCACAGCATCTAAATGGGATTCATGTCAGAACTTTGACTCAGTCACTCCAAAACCTTAATTTTGTTTCTTTTAAGCCATTCAGAGGTGCTTAGGTGCCTTGAATTATAGTCCTGCCGCATAACCCAACTGCAATTGAGCTATTAGTCACAAACTGACAAGCAGACCTTCTCTCACTGTGGTTCACTGGAGTCCCAGAGCCTTATTAATGGCTTTGTAACCCTTTCCAGCCTAGTAGATATTAATTAATTTGTTTTACATTTGTGTTTGAATCTCTTTTGAACGTGGCATCACATGCTGCTTTTTGAGACCTTCAAACCTGCTTCACATTGCCAGACAGGTTCTATTTGAATGATGTTTAAATTCAACAGGTCTGGCAGTAATCATGCCTGGGTGTGGCTAGTGAAACTGAGCCCAGTACTCAAATTAATTTGGTTAACTGGTTGATTTAGTAGCTAAGGCAATTACTTTTTGCATAGGGTAGGGTAGGGTTAAACAGCAGTTTTCCTTCAATAAATATAATCATCATTTAAAAACAGCATTTTGTGTTTATTTGGGTTGTCTTTGTCTAATGTTAAAAGTAGTTTGATGATCTGAAACATTCAAGTGTGACAAATATGCAAATATAGAAGAAATTGCGAAGGGGAAAATGCTTTTTTCACAGCAACAGCATCTTGTTTAATTCATGTATAAACTAGCCTACCAACCTGAACTGCATGTGTTTATATTGTGTTTAGGCCAAAGAGGGGATCCGGGGCCAGAGGGCCCCATGGGACCACCAGGTATGTGTGGACCAGAGGGGGACCCTGGGCTTGCTGGTCTGCGAGGAATACCTGGGCCCCCTGGGAAACCAGGTGAAAAGGGATTGTGTGTGGATGGACCCAAGGGACAGCGAGGTTGTGATGGACCACCAGGAAACCCAGGTGAGCTGATAGTCGTAAGACATCATCTGATGTTGTATGATTGATACATCATGGTATGGAAGAAAAATACATTGTAATTTCCAATTCACAACTTTTGTGGCGGGGGCCAGGAGAGGGGGCAGTCTTAAGACTGAAACTGGTATTTGTTTTGAAAATGCTTTGAAAATCATATATACTGTAAGAAGAAGATTCTCTTCCTTTAGCATGGTCATTTAGTTTGTGTCTAGTTTGTAACTGGGATGTTTGCACAGACACAAACAACCGAGGGGCTGAAGTTGAATATTTAATTACTCATGCATTTTCTATAGAAGCTTTATTCTTTTTTAAGACACAACAGCTGTAACTAAATATAAATTATAAATTATTGTTATTATATTTAAATCATTAAATTAAAGCTGTTTTAGTTTGGGATACGTTATAAATTCATTCCAGGCTGCCACCTCACCTCACCTCACCTCAGAATGCAACAAACTGCACCTCTTTCCATGCTGCCCCTGAAGCTAAAAGAGCATAGATGTCTCAGAAATAACATGTCAATTCCACTTTTCCTTTAAAATATTATATGTTCAGTATAACTGAATATGATGCAAACATGTAAGCAAAGATTAACAAATAAATTTGGTGAGTATGTTTCTGGCACAGCAAAGGTTCATTAAAGTTTCTTTGTGTTGTGCGCTGTAATATTCTTTTACTTTGAATTTAATTTTAAATGTTTTCTTATTCTTTGGAAAATGAAAAAAATGTCATACTCATCTGTGTGACTGTATGTGTGTCATGTGGTTCCTGGCCTTATGTGTGTATGAGCAGGACCCCCGGGGACGTGTGGTCCTCCAGGGCTACCTGGTCCTGGGCTGAAAGGTGATAAGGGTGACTGTGGGGTTTTAGGACCAGCGGGACCCCCTGGTTGCAGAGGAAACAGTGGCCTACAGGGGCCACCTGTGAGTAACTAAAACAATATACTTATGTTTTTTCACATCCTCACCAAGTTTTTGGCCTTATAGTGATGCTGGACTACACAGAGTTACCAAATATACGCTCACCAGCCCTTTTATAAGAAACGCCATTCTTTGCTCTCAGAAAAGCCTGGATTCTTCATGCCATAGATTCAACATGGTGCTAAAAGCAATCCCCAGAAATTCTGGTCCAGGTTAATTTGATTGTAATTACTGCATGTGTTTCAGTTCTCCTGTTCTGCCACATCTCAAAGGTGTGCCATTGGATTGAGATCTGGGGCTGGGGAGGCCATTAAAAACCTCAAACTTATTGTCATATTCAATTACTGCATGTGTTTCAGTTCTCCTGTTCTGCCACATCTCAAAGGTGTGCCATTGGATTGAGATCTGGGGCTGGGGAGGCCATTAAAAACCTCAAACTTTTTGTCATATTCATTGAACCAGACTGAGAGGACTTGTGCTTTGTGACAAGGCACCTTATCATACTGGATGTGGCCATTAAAGAACAGTAAAATGTGACCATGAAGGAATGCATATGGTTGGCAGAAGTACGCCGATAGGCTGTGAGATTCAAATGATGCTTGACTCGTATTAGGGGGCTCAGTGTATGCCAAGAAAGCATTCCCCACACCAGTACACCATCAGCAACAACACCTTGAACTGATACAAGGCAGTTTGGGTCCATGGATTCATGATGTTTAAGCCAAATCCTAACCCTACCATCTGCATGTCACAGCAGAAAATTCTCCAGTTTCGGTTAACCTTTGCCCACTGTAGCCACAGATTCCTGTTCATGCAACCCAATCTGGTCTTTTGCAGTCGTAGCACATCTACCTCAAAGTTCCACTCTTGTAGTGAGTAGCTTTTCACAAGGCTAATGTAAAGAATTTGTAAAGAAGATGGTCTTCATTTTTATCATTTTATATTTTATAATGTAGAATATATTTATATTTTATAATGATAAGATTTGGTTAAATATTTAAAATAGTATAATAAGAAAATCAAGTGTTTTTTAAGGAATCTGGTGATGTGACAAAATTTTAATTAATTTCTTTAAAGGGTGCTGATGGGACTAATGGTTGCCCTGGCCTCAAAGGAGAAAGGGGACTGAAGGGTGAACCTGGACCACTGGGTGAGAAGTATCTCAACTCAAATACAAATAGAATTGAATAAATTTAAAGAATATTCTCAGATGAAAGCAAAACACAAGATTAAAATAATACTACTACTACTAGTAGTAATAGTAGTGATGATAATAATAACAAAAATAATAATAATAATAACATTTAAAAAGGCAGTTAAAAAAACTGATGTAGTTAATATAAGATGTACTACCATATTGACTTAATTGTTGTCCTAAGTAACTTCCCTTTTCTCTGAAGCTCATTCTAGTAATTTAAGTGCCTTAAATTTCTTAGTTTCTGAAAAAGTGTTTAAATTAGTAATTAGTCAGCACTGGTTACTTTACTGGAAAATGACACTAAACCCAAACTTGCCGGTTAAAAATGAAAAAAAAGAAGTTTGAAACAAATTTTTAATATGCACCTCAATGTGGGGGGTATGCAAAAGTTACGACACATTTTATACTGTTTTTTTTTTTTTTTCAAATATGTTAAACTCAGCAGATCAATAGAAATTGTGCACAAACATTTGCAGAAAAACCACCATATTTAGGTTTGTTCTCTGTAGAGAATGTGTTGACTTATTTTCACTTAGAAAATCAACAAACATGTAATTTGACCGGGAGTGTTCAAACTTTTGTGTACGAATTAGTTACATTTCAGCAAGAAAAAACAGGCAAGGATTTTTATTTTCAGCGTTAATGCTTGATTTGTTAAACAAATTCTTTAGAATCCATAAAAACATGAACTTTTCATCACATTATCCTGGTCAAAAGATGAGGAAAAATCAAAATGAGTGAATAGTGTATAGGTGCAATTTATATATTATTCATGACTGTAACTTGTAAATGAAGTCATGTTAAGTGTATTGTTTTTTATGTGTACTACCATACAAGCACTCTGAGATGCTGTAGCCATTAACTGTAGTTATGATTTGAATGTGCTGATGTAGATGAATTGCACTTTCCAGGTCAAAACGGAGATTGTGGTCCCCTTGGCCCTCCAGGATGTTCAGGTCTGAAAGGACCACCAGGATGTCCAGGTAAGATTTCGTAAAACTATAAAGCTGAACTTGCTATACTTTCTGGGATGTTATTTCTGATCATTAATTAAAAATAATGATGTATAAAGATTAAAAAGCTGAAAAAAGTAAAGCCGAAATATCTGAAGAAGCATTTGTGTAACCATGTTGTTTTAGAACTGAAAGAAATTGATATTTTAGGTTCAGATGAGATTTTGCTCTAGAGATTGATGAAATGAGATGAGAGCTATTGTTGTTTACTAGTAAACTGAAACTGGTTTATGCAGTAGAAGTAACCCACTGTGATTGATCTGTTCAGGTCCTAAAGGGAAAGAAGCGGTCTGCGTAGACATTTCTGTCCCTGGAGACCGGGGGCCATGTGGAAAGCCAGGAGACAGAGGATTAGACGGAGAATGTGGCCCTCCTGGGCCACCTGGGCCAGAGGGTACACGCACACGGATACACATATGTGCACATATAAAGTCAAACAGACATGCATGAGGAAACATGCATACACATAGACATGTTAACTGGGACACAAGCAAATATGCTTGCAAAAGTCCTTTCTCGCCCTTTGTCTCTCCATCTCTATCAGTCCTGCATTGCCGCTGATTTTCATTAAAGGTGCCTCAATAATGTATTTCTCTTTCTTGTAGGAATCAAAGGCTGTAAGGGAACCAGTGGCAAAGTAGGCAGAACCGGTTATAAAGGACTACCTGGAGAGACGGGGGACAGAGGGTATCCAGGGCCAAAGGGTAGGTGCCACCGTATCTCCATATTTTGATTGAGCCTTTTGTTTGACAGGTCCCAAACACAAAATCATGACCCAGTCTGTAAAGTAGGAATAACTGGTGCATTCATAAGCAGTTAACGTAATTCAACACATTCACATACGTTGCTCACTTGCGTTGTTTTATTCAGAAAATAATTTTTTTATGTTGTACTGCGTGGTGTCGTGGGGTTGAGCTTTTTGAGTAATTTTGTGACAAGCCCTTGAACGTATTCAATTTGCGTTTTAGTTCAGGCAAATAATTACTCTTTTTACAATTTCAAGTGAGCTGCCAGTTACTAGTACAATATAGTATTAAAATATATAGTATGTGAAATATATAGTATAAAAAAGTGTAGTGTTAAAATAAAAAATGTATTCAAATATTTCTACAACTCTGACTCTGATATCTGTGTTTCAAACTCATTCACCCTGTTTGTGCTTTTGCTATATTTATTGTTTGTGCATAAAAGCACAAACACGTCTATTTTAGCTTTGTTTGTGTAAGTAACAAAGAAGATCTGGGATTCTGAATGATTTTCATAGTACAATAATTATATTTTCGCTTTCCTTACTCATTTTTCTTTTCAGTCTTGTAGGTAGGTGTCCATGATCTGGCAGCTAACAGCTAACGAATGCTTCAGTCAAATTCAGGAACATTTCAAAGTCATTTTAAATTTTGACTGCACTTCGGTACGGCTCGTGTTGTCAGCTCCAGTCCTATCTATTATAAATCTACGCTGCCTGAGGTAGATCTAAAAGATGAATATTTTTTTATCAAAATTGTGATTTGAAAGAATGTAATTTTTTTCAAATTGCAAGATCTGAAGTTTTAATTATATCCTACATTACTTATAGTTGTCTTATGAGTTTTAAGTGGGAAGCGTAACCTAATAACACAGAGCTTGTGAATTGACATTCAGCCAAGGGAACCACCAGAGTCGGCACACTGCCTCATTCATTATCACAGTGGTGACTGTTAACGAATTTTTTTTCCCATTTAAAAAAAAAAGTCCAAGGCAGGCTCTGCATTTTTGGTGGTCAAAATGTGCAATGTTGTGGTCAGGGGCACTGGGCAGAACCTCTGTTTAGGTGTGTAGCATGCTCAGCTGAGTGCTATGTGGTGTTGAAGGAGTGTCTGTATTAGTGCTCAGATGTGCCAATGCTCTTTCAGGAGCTCCAGGTTGGATTGGTTCTGCTGGTCTGAAAGGCAAAAGCGGGCCGCAAGGGCAGTGTCAGCCCAATGGATTCGACGACAGCTTCTTGTTCACCAGGCATAGTCAGAGACACGACGAACCACCCTGCCCAGGAGGATCCAAGCTACTCTACTCTGGATTTTCACTCCTTTTTGTCAATGGAAACAACAGGGGACATGGGCAGGACCTCGGTATGACACACAAACAAAGACACCCTTTAAGACCAAGGCTTTATTGTTTAGTTCATTTTTAATTTCTTCTTGCTATTTGTGACTGGTAGCAACCGCTAACTATTTTGAATGAACAACATCCTCGGTACGGGTAAAAACCAGGGACACATGCAGTTAAAACAAATAGTAACACTTAAGTGAAGGGCGCTGTTCCTAAGGCTTTGTAATGCAGCTTACTGAAGTGAAATGACAAAGTTGGCAAAAGCAGCCTTTATGACAACTGACAGTTGTTGGAATAAGCGTTTAGGGAATGTAGGTTTTAGGGATGCACGATGATATCAGAATCGTATTAGTACTGTCCGACATTTGCTTTTTAAAATGGTATCAGGCCTATGGCTGTATTGTCCCGAAATTTCAAACCAATATTTGATGATGATGCATTTTTGGTGTGCCAGAAGAGCACCATTAACATTTAGTTGACACTGTCTGTGCGAAAGCAGTGCAGGTAAATTGTCTTCCACAGCTCCACTTGCACAAGCAAAACTTAAAACAAAGCTACCTACCAAAACTGGTAGGTAGTTTCATACATAAAACTCTTGGTAGGAATTTTTGATGGCTAGGATTATGAAGTGTTACCACATAAATGTACAACAGCAAAAAAAAAATTATCATTTATTTGTACCTGTATTAGTATCAGTTTAGATTACATTAGAATGCCTCTGTTTATTCGGAATAATGTAACCTATACAAATTTAGTTAAATCCCTACAACATACAGTAATCAGTGTAGCCCCCAAAATACAAACATATTTAACAGTACAATGTTACATACTGTAGATCTATAGTTGAAATACACAGATAGGCTGAACAGTGAGTGTTTGTATAACGTATAATTGAAAATGTGTAGGATACTAGGCTACTGTTGGTTTGCTAGGCTACTATGTATATATTTTACAATAACATTGGGCCTCATTCACCATATCTTTCTAAGTTTTTTCTTAAATTTGTTCTTGAGAAAGGAGCTAAGCAAAAGTCTACAGAATTGTTTGCATTTTTGTGCTTTTGAATGTGCTTGATTCTGTTCTTAATTAAGATCAAATCCCAAATAAAAACTGTGTTGCCCTTATATAGGGACGCAGCATCTTATGTACATATACCCATAGGTTTCAACCTCTAGAGACAAAAAACATTAAATTCACATTAAATTCACAATACAGCCTCCAAACTGTATAAATTCACTGATACCCAAAAAGTGCCATTCAAATCATTAGCAACATCAGCAATGTATGCAGTTTTGACTTTGTGTAGTGTGATATGTTCCTCTGATAGTCATAGTTTTTACTTCACACATAATCAGATTTATTTTTGCTTTATTTTACAGTTAAAGTTGAACAACTAAACAGTCTCTTATGGAGTTAACATGGTAGAAACACAGTCAAAGGAAGTCAGAGGGACAGCAGAGTCAGGTTGCATTCTGTCATTAACTGAGAACAGAAAGTTTCATCTGCAAAGTAAGATTGACTTTTTGGTCTAGTAAGTCTTAAAAAATAGAAAGTGGAAAAAAATTGGAGCAAAACAGAGGTTTAACTGGTAAACCTGTATTGAATTTAATTTCATGGGTTGACAAATTAGCCTTTAGTCTGTACTATTAGTAGCTTTTATCAAAAAATAACATACATTTTTATAAATTGAAAGGGCACTCTATAACATTCCTTTAATATCTTACTGTGAGACAGCAAGCTACAAAATACTTTGTGTTCATGGCCTTTGATATATGCTTATACCAAACTGTGGTATGCTCTTAAAATAAATACAGGTGACAAAAAGTTTGTTTTTGAAGCAGTGCCATATAAGAGGTCTCTTTGTTCCCTAAAGAAAGTTGCTGTCCTTGTTCTTTAAAGAACAAGATGTTTTAATTGATTTATTTTTTATTGATTTTTAGTCTTTGATTTATACATTTGGTACAATTTAAAGCAAAATATAACTGTAATGAATTGGTAGCAAAATACAACCCAAATCACATAAATGTCCAGTAAATATTAATAATAACATTCACAATAAACTGTTTTTCTACAGGTAATATACAACCCCATTTCCAAAAAAGTTGGGATGCTGTGCAGAATGTACCTAAAAATACAATGCAGTGATGTGCAAATAATGTAGATCATATTTTTAAATGAAGATACTACAAAGACAACATTTCAGGTGTTGAAATTGAGAAATTTTGTTGTTTTTTGAAAAATATATGCCCATTTTGAATTTGATGCCAACAACTAATTTCAAAAAAGTTGGGACAGGGGCATGTATACTACTGTGTTTCACCACCTTTTCTTTTAGCAACACTCTGTAAACGTTTGGGTACTGAGGAGGACCAACTGCTGTGGTTTTAAAAGTGAATGTTTTCCCATTCTTGTTGATATAGCATTTCTGCTGCTCAGCAGTTCGGGGTCTCCTTTGTCATATTTTTCATATCATAATGCGCCAAATGTTTTCAATGGGTGACAGGTCTGGACTGAGAGCAGGCCAGTTTAGCACCCGGACTCTTTTCATAAAAAGCAATGCTGTTGTAATACATGCAAATATTATTTGTCAGGCTTTTTTTCTTGGCTTTGCTGATCATTACCAAAATCATTAATGATTTACTAATGCCTGAATTTTGTATTTTTATGCGTGTATGTGTGTGTCTGTCTGTATGTATGTCTGCAGGCACTCTAGGGAGCTGTCTACAGAGGTTTTCCACAATGCCATTTCTTTACTGCAATACTGAGAGCACCTGTCGCTATGCCTCTCGGAACGACTTCTCCTATTGGCTGTCCACAAACACGTCCGTGCCCAGAGACTTGGCTCCTATATCTGGTGATTCTCTGGAGCAGTACATCAGCAGGTATACTCAGAACAGCCATGACTTCTGACAAATTTATACTGTAAACGTAGAACACACACAGACATGCATTGACACAAAGGTATTTTCTCATACCCACTGTATCTTTGTCTCTACCTCTCTTTCAGGTGTTCTGTATGTGAGGCTTCCACTAATGTAATAGCAGTGCACAGCCAGACCACTCGGATTCCAGACTGCCCTAATGGCTGGCAGTCTCTGTGGCAGGGGTACTCTTTTGTTATGGTATGAACCACTAACAATCATGAACACAAGCTATATCACAATTTTATGTTTATTTAAATGCAAATCAGTTGATTCATTTAACTTGATCTCTTAAAAAATCATACCTACTTTACTGAATAGCTATGACAGCTAAATCTGTAATTGTGGAATAATAGGTAACACTTTAACCCTGCTTCACAGATTATGTCCAGTAATCACATAACCATTGTATTGGCCACTTCATTAAAATCATCCTTGTCCATTTTATCACCTCCACTTACAATATAGATGCACTTTGCAGTTCTAAAATCTACTTTGTTTGTCCCCTTTCACCCTGTTCTTCAGTGTTCAGGACCCCCACAAAACCACCACAGAGTAGGTTTTTTTTTGGGTAGTGGATCATTCTCAACACTGGACTGTACTCAATCCAGCAGTGACACAGGTGTTTAAAGCTCCAGCAGCACTGCTGTGTCTGATCCACTTCTACCAGCGCAACACACACTAACACACCACCACCACCACATCAAAAAAAAGTTTCTTTAAAGCAATGCCACATAAGAAGCTTTTTTGTTCCCTGAAGAAACTTGCATTGCAGTGCTTAGAATAATCCACCACCCAAATAATACCTGCTCTGTGGTGGTCCTGTAAGGGTCCTGACTACTGAAGAACAAGGTGAAAGGGGGCTGATAAAGTATGCAAAGAAACAGATGGACTACAGTCTGTAATTGTACAATTATAATGTGCACCTATATGGTAAGTGGAGCTGATAAAATGAATAGTGAGTGTAGAAACAAGGAAGTGATTTTAATGAAGTGGCTGGTTGGTGTATGTCATCATGTTTAATGTCATGACAGTTATCTAGAGTACATTTAAAAAAAAAATAGCATGTAACATAAACTGCTATGATATCAAACAGACTCTGTATTACTGAACAAACTCTGCCAAGATGTAAGCTAGTTAATTAGATAGCGTGATTTAAGTGTATTGTTACTGTAGAGTTATTGTGCTGCGCTTTTCTATGACCACAAGAGTGTACTGAGAGTGTTCAAAATGTTTTACAAAATGTTTTAGATTGGTTTGTATGTTTTCCTGTATCTAGCATACAGGTGTGGGTGCAGAAGGCTCAGGACAGCCGCTGTCTTCTCCGGGCTCCTGTCTGGAGGATTTCCGAAAAGTTCCATTTATTGAATGCCACGGCAGTGGTACTTGTAACTTTTACAGTGATTCTTACAGCTACTGGTTGGCTGCTCTGGACCCAAGCCAGATGTTCAGGTAAATTTTCACCTGTGGTACACTTTCTGAAGATAGATTTTTTTTTTTAACTGAAAAGGAAATTGAAACTGGAAGTATAGTAATCAAGCAGAGTTTGTGGTCAGATCTGCAATACAGATGGGAGACATATTAAAAGAAAAACCTGAGCAAATGAGTGTGGAATCATACCATCATAAGTGCACATGCTTTCCCACAAGTGTACTACATGATACACTGAAGCAATAAACATCATGTGACACTCTGTGACAGAAATAAAAATGCTTAGCTCATGATGGCCTACCACCTTACTAAGACATCTTGTGTTTGGTAGCCCATTTGTATTTGCCTTATACACCAGCAATAACAGTGAAGTTTTAACAAATACCATCCTCACCAAAAAATTGACATTTTGTTGAATATCAAACATAATTTAGCTTTAGCTGGTGTTATATTAGCTAGAATTCATTTTGGATGCGAGAAAATGTTTGCAAATATGTATCTATGTTTTGTCCCTCAGTAAACCAGTCCCACAGACACTGAAACGAAACTGCCAAGGCAACGTCATCAGTCGCTGTCGGGTCTGCATGAAGCGCATGGAATGTTGTTACAGATAGTGAGCTTTACAGCTCACACAGCTGCCACAGAGACATTGGTCACCTGCCCAAATACGGTGAGATGCAAGTTCCTCACAGACCCACCTGAATCGGCCGTTTCAGTTTGTACAATCCTTTAAACTGAGGTTGCATTCCATATTCAGTCATGTTTGCAATCTGCAAAGGGTCTTGATGGATGGACTTGTACGCACAGAGCGCTATGAGGAAATGTAATGGGGCCAACTTAAAAGTTATGGACTACTTCTCTGCCTATTCTCTACAGAGGTCCTATGTGTTTCATCTAGTATCTTTTTTCTTTTTTTGCATATCCAAATGATCACCTTGTTCAGAGCACTTCTTAAAATCACTTAAATCAGAATTAACTTCGACAGTATTTTATTGCAAAGTTCTTTCATTCTTTTTTTAAAGCCTGGTCTTAACAAATTGTTTTTTTCATCATCTTTGCTACAAAACAGTTGACTTAAGCCTTTATGGTCACTCTTGCCTTAAAAAGCTTTTGTATTGATGCCTTTACAAGTTTATCGAGAGATAGGATAAGAGAGATGAGATGTGTTTGTCTGTGTTCGGTGTTTGTTCAATATGTTACAGTGCTATTCATAAGCACTGCGACAGTGTATATTTATAAGGTCTTTTTAAAGTAAATGTCCTGTATAGGAGCTTGTATTTTTATAGTACTGTGCAAATGTTTTACTTTCCAGTCAAAATGGATTGTTGGCATCAGGGAAAAAGCAACAACATATTTAACAGCAAATTACATAGATGCCTGAACAACTAAACGTAATGTCATATTTCTGCCTTTATTACAGCTTCCATTCTTTTTGGGAGATTGCTTTCAGTTTTTGAAAGATATCTGCAGGGGTATTTTTCCATACTTTTGATGTTCAGTCTTAGAAGTAGGTTGCATTTTCTGCTTCTAGCAGTACATAGTCTCCCAGTCACAACATCAGTAATATTGAGGTCTGAGCTCTGGGGTGATCAGGGTTCTGAGAACACCAGCGACCTAGAATAAACATTCACAGGCCTGTTATGTGTGCTCTGCCACTGTAACTGGAAGCATCTACCCAGTCAGACCCAAATCACAGTCAAATGTTCAAGTGTTTGTATGTATCTGTGACTTAAAAAGTAAATCCATGGTAATCTATATGTTTATACAAGTATACTGCCCCAGGAATCACGGAGAGAACTGTCTATATTGGTTTAGTTTGTAAACATCTGTTACCCATATGACTCATCTACTACAGTATATTTTACATTTTTACATATTTTACCCTGATATTCTTTGTACCTTTAAAGTTTGTTTGTGCCTGCTTTTAAATAGTTATACTAGTAACTTAAATGTATGCACATTTTAATATCTTATTAGAGATACATTGCACTGTATAATATGAAAATATGTACATTTTTCTAATAAACATGACTGACTTAGCCTAAGCATTAAAAACTGGAGTATATTCCCGTAAATAATAGTTTTGCATCCGTGTAAAACCGACAGACTTGCATTACAACCATCTTTGGAGAAAGCAAGAGAAAAATTAAGTTGTGAGTCGAGTCATGGAAGATATGACCGTGAATTGCCTGACTAAGACTGAACCAAAGTGCAGACATTCAGAGGTTGTTCCTGATGATCATGTGACTGGACATGATCTTACAGGTTCAGTGTTTGATCCCAGCTGATGTCGTCCTACTACTGGTGTGCCCTGGAGTAAGGCACCTAATTCTAAGTTGTTTCAGGGAGGTTGTCTCTGTAACCAACATCAGTAAGTTCTACTTGAGGTTATTCTAATCTACAGTTGTTTCCTTGGAGCAACTTAAGTGACTTAAGGATAAAAAGAAGAACTTCAGAATCTGTGGATATAAGACAGTTTTAATATTTGTTAATCGTTACGCAACTTTCCAGTTTAAAATGCTACACTACCAAGCTTGGGTTATAGATCCTAGTGTGGGGAACTGAGCACCAGAGACCAGCACAGTTTCCCTGCTCTAGCATGCCAACTAAACCTGGTAATTAACTGGTGAGATTAATAAGGTGTGATTGAACTGGAAAATCAACCTAGCTGCCGATTTATTCTTTATATTTATTTTTAGCACTCCAGAGCATACATGCATACAAATAGTCAATAAAAAAGTGCTAAATATAAATATAAAGAATAAATCGGCAGCTAGGTTGCAAGTACTTCTGACATTTTGCTGGGTGCTTTTATTCTGTTTCATAAATGAGAACGTGCTTATAAATTGTGACAATATGTCACAATATGTTTAATTAGCATACCATGAACATCATCAGTACTTAGAAACATTTCACAACTGCATGTTTGATTACAAATATTATTAGGCCTGGTTAATTGGAAAGTTTTTGATAGTGTTTTTATATATGGTATTTCTCCCAACTTGCCAGATGTTGACATTGTGACATATTGTGTATCACAAAAACTCCTGATGATGTATCATAATATTGTATATTTTTTCCATATTGCCCACCCCTGTCTTCTTGCTACATTGTAGTCAAGTCTGCAGACTCAAATTAAGCTCTGTTACTGGACTAGGCCCTTACACTTTATAACTGGTATATATTTGCATTAATAAGATTTTTTGACAATTCATGTTAACAAACGTTTAGAAACTTGTCAGGATGTTTTTACTCTAGATTGCAAACATGTTGATGTATTTGATCTGCTGTCTCTTTGCAACGAGGGATCTTATCACTACCTGCAAGCATTTACATAAATGTAAATATTACTTCACTCACAATTTTTAGGGTTATCAGCTTCTTTATTTCAATTTTGGCAGTTAGCTAACTGTTGGTAACCAATGTGTTTTACTATATGGTGACATGTAAATTGGACATTTAAATAATCAGCACCATGCAGAAATGTCTGCCAGTTTTAAAAGAAAATATATGAAATTCGGTTAAGTAATAAGAGAGTTTATGGCTGATTTAATCAAGAGAGCTCTGAGAATAATATCTCAGTACACGTATTTGTTTAAAAGCTGATGTTGACCGCTCCAACATGGCAAACACTATTGTATTGCCTCACATTTAAAAAACTGAAAATGCAGAATCTGCGTACTAGTGTCTATGGTTTAGGCTTTCTCACTAAGCTGACTAAACTTCTAGTGCTTAATGACTAGTGCGTGGCTGTTGTACCACACCTCACGTTTGACCTCGGTGGCTTTGCAGTGGAACGTGAGGGCTGAAGCAGTGGAGGCAGGAGTAGCATGTTTGGGCTCTATCTCTCAGCTCGGGTGCTTGTGATAGGTTGAAGCTCATTGGTGCTGTACAAAACTAAGCTGCTATGTAGTGCCCAACTAACCGCTTTTTAAGTGTACTGAGAGCCTGTATTTTCAAAGGAAAAATTTGAACTCTGTACTGTAGTAATAGCTTTGATGCAAGTATCAGTCTAAATAACTTTAACAAGCTACACAAGAGTTTTTCCCCACTGTTTTTTTTATTGGAGGTGGTTTTATAAATGCTGTTATGTTAAAAACGATACAATGGTCTGCAATAACCAAGATTTATATGCATGTATGAATATATGTCAGTAAATACGGTTTAAACTAAAATGACTTCCTACTGTGCACTGCAAAAGTATTTTATATTTATATTTACTGTTGCATTTCTTTATTTGCTGTGTAAAATTTCTCTTCTAACTCACACATAACCTTCATTAAGGTGTTGCACTAATTGAATGAATAAACTTTCTGATGACGCTTGTATGTTTGGTGTCTAACTTTTGCTCATTGTGTCCTGTTTTTAGATTTATTCAGTAGTAGATGACATTAATTAGAAACCATAACATTTCAATATATAGCTAAGTAGTACTTAGCAAGTTTTGCTGGAGAGAAATAGCCTAGTAAGAACATATGAATGATTGACATGTTTAAAATACTCCTGTTATTAATATAAGTGACATTTGTGTGAACTTCAGTAAATGTGATATGATATGATGTAGATGTAGAAAATAGCAATAGAAAATTGAAAATGACCTTTTCAAAAGAAATTTAGGGATGTATAATTAATCTCTAGATCACAACTGACCATCTTGGCACGATTGCTGCTCTAAGATTATCTTTGAGTTTATAGTGAACATTACCAGGAACACTGAAAACAAACATTATTGCCCTGTTTGTGCACTGGTACAGTGTTGCTGTCTGAAAGCCTTAGTTGTGGAAGTATCTGATGTTCCAGTCTTGATTTTTCATTCAGTTTCCTGTCCCCTGTTGACCACAAGATGGTAGATTGGAGCTACATTTGAATATTAAGGAGGAATTCCACTGCTTTTTCTAAAATTTTCCTTAGTTCAATCTAAGAAATGAACAGTCATTCAGTGTTTTGAACAGTCCAAATCCAAGAATACAGTCCAAGACAACCAATGAATATGCATGTCTTTTGGATTTTATATTTAATGCTAGGATAATTGATAAACTTATAGTAAATTGAAAAAATACAGGTATTTCTTTAGAAACTATTTTGCTTATTAATGTTCTGCATGTACCTCTCTGCCATAATTACTTTTTAAAAAATAAGTTTTAAGCAAAGCCTTGTCGTCAAAATGTTGTTAAAAATTGTCAGGCATCTGTCGAATCAAGGTATTCATAACTTCATGTCATACCCTCCTGTGAGTTTGCTTTAAACCTCCTGTGAGGCATTAAACGCTTCAAACGTCTGTGAACAATTCTGACTTGGCAAGTTTCTCTGGAATAGTGCATCAAATCATCAAAGCCAAAATCTGAATGGCTTTGTTTACTTCTTATTTATGCATACATTTTGAAAAATTGCTGGAATTCAATTTTAAATGCAGACAAGACTACACAGAGGTGGAAAATGTATTAACCCCTTGAACTTCATGAATGACCACATCTTAAGGCTTAATCATTGAAGTTCTTATTAATGTATAAGAGTGAGGAATGGAAATCTTGCTGGCAAGTCTATGGAAACATTATCCATTAACCTTTACTTTTAGACATAGTCATGAATTGATTAATTGATTTCTGTCATGTATACATACAACTAAAGTGCATCTTAAGTGTGTCACGTTGGTAACAGCACAGAAAATTTAACTGCACTCTACTTTTTTGTGCTGTTGTGTTTGCCCATACACATAATGGCTTGTTTCTTTATCTAGGGGAAATATTTGCAAATGTTAGTGAGTTCCACCCTCATTACCTGCATTAACCTGTAGTCAGATATTGTGTCCTGGTTTTAACCTTTACGTCACACCAATATCGCCTGTTCTGACCAGTGTCTATTCTAAAGAATCTGTACTGCCTCACAGCCATGTCAGGCATGTAGATGTTGAACTCTGGAGCACTAGCTGAAGGCCTAAATGCCTTCCTATTCCTTATAAACTAAACCATACAGGAAGAATTAATAGTTTTGTGGTCTAGTACACTGTGAACTAGGGAGCCATTTTACCTTGTTCCTCTTACCGTTTTAATTAGCGGTCTTCTATGCTGTTCCTTGCTCTTCTACATTCTATACAGTACCTTTTATACATGTCACTTGTGCAGTCCATATGTGCATTTCCACATATGTAAAAAAAGAGCTATCTAAATGAAGGTTGACTGATTAAAGCTTGATCAAGGCAGAACAATGGAGCATGTCAGTCAACCAGGCACGACCATTCAGCTGTCCTTTATGAAATGTAAAGAAATTATACAGAGAAGCTCGCACTCAGAATCCATTAAGCCTGAGTTTGTGAAGCTTTTATCATTAATTAGGCCACTGTGCGCCTGCTGAGGAGACAAAGGTAGACGGCACAGACATTTCTCTGTTGTATTTGCCTTAGATTAGCTGAGAGGGCCTCGGCCCATTCTCGCAAATTGTTTTATTGTCCCTCTCGTTGTAAAGTCAATATTCTTTCACTTGTGTTATCTTAATGAGAAGCCAGTGCCATTCGCGGAGAACAAGGAGAAATCTGGACGCTTTATGACATCACATTCCACTATCGCCCAGCAACCGGGGCAGCTGTCAGTCACCCAGCAGAGTTTAAAAAGAGCACCGCATGTGGTTCCAGAACCACAGCTAACTCTCTGCAGCACGGTCAGAGCATTCCAGAAGAAGAAGCCAAGCCAAGAGCTGTGAGGAAGATGAGGGTTTGCGTGCTGCAATGTTGTCTGGCCCTACTGGGTTTGTCTCTGGTTTTGTGTGGCAGCGGTGCCTCCTCTCAGCCGGACCTGGACCTGGACCTCGACCCCCGGTACCGCAGACTTCTGCAAAGAGCACGGGCCCTTGGCATGGCTGCACAGGTTAGACTGCATGTATACTCACACGTTCGCACATAAACACAAAACAGCAGAAAAGCTAAACAGGTCAGTGTGATGGGAGTGAAATTACTTAATTACCATTAGCATCTTATAGCAATACTCCAGTGTTTTTCAGCCTAAACACTATCTGCTGTATCTGCAGCATACAGTTGATTAGCTTGTACAGTAATTTTGATGTTTCCCTGTTTATAATGAAGCAGAAAACTCAGCACCTGACCACTGGCTTCCATTACAGGAGTGTTTTGAGTCAGCAGGTTTTCTGTTCTTTTACATGGGAATTATTGTCCATGCTAATCAACTGTATGCAATTAGGTTGACAAAGGCTAGAGATCTCCTTTAACCGAGATGACGTCAGGATGCTGAGGCCTTGCATTACATAGCATTGTACACTTGCATTTTTCATATGTTATAAGGCATGTGTTACTGTACTTGTTTGCTACACACCAGTATGTTATCAGAATGATGACAATTTCAAAAGACAGAGAAGCACTTACCTGCTTCCTGCCAAGTTTATGTCCACATCCAATCTAGCACTGTCTGTAATATTTGTTTGACACTTTAAATGTGTTTGATTAGGATATGAACTAAACCAGTGGTTCTCAAACTGGTCCTCATGGTCCTCATGGCCACCCATGCAGTCCACGTTATGTTCTATCCCTATGTATTGTGAGTTAAGTTGGAGCAATAACTGTCTGGGGGGCCTTGAGAACCAGTTTGAGAACAGTTAAATATGTATATTAGTAACTAAACATAAAGCCTAGCACTAAAATTAATACCATACCGATCTCAAGATTACCTCATATGAAGTCCCATCATCTCTTGACCTCATAGATACATCTTTGATGTATCTTGGCTAAACAGAAAAGCTCAGTAACCAGAAGATATTTTCTGCCAGTTTTAAATCCATAACTAACTGTTTGGGGTGGCTATTTTGTTTATTTCTAAGATCACCTTCAAATTTTATACTCTTTAAGCCATTATGGCTGCTGGAAGTGGATAGCTGATCATAACAAGTATGATTCAGGCTGGTTTATGATTCACTTATTACTCCTCATATTAGAGTATCTCTGCGCAGATGTCAGTCAATCTGCTCACAGACTGATGGCTAAACAGATGACCACTTGCTTTCACTGTATCAAGATTCAAGGCTTAGTTGTTTAACCTAAATCTCTCAAACAAATGCAGAAATAGAGATCAGTGCAACTGTTGCGCTGATCTCTACATATTGATAGATAATGCGTTTTTACAGGTAATATTCAAAAGATGTTGCAATTTATAGTATTTCTCTCTGTCTGTCTGTCTCTCTCTCTCTGTCTCTCTTTCTCTCTCTTTTTCACTTTTAGGCATTACCGTATTAGTTATAGTCTTAAAGTTCAGCCAGGAAACATTGTTTAACATTATTTATCTTAAAAACACTATATAACATTTGATAGATAGGTAGATAGATAGGTAGATAGATAGATAGATAGATATTTATATGCAGAGAGATTTACTGTGTGTGTGTGTGTGTGTGTGTGTGTGTGTGTGTGTGGTTCATTTTCAGGACTGGAGGAAGAGAGAGATGGAAGACCTGCTGTCCCAGCTCACACTGCCAGAATCCGAGCTCAAAGAGAGCGAGATTACTAGTCTGGGGGCAAAACATGATGTTCGAGTGGAACTGGAGCGGTCAGCGGAGAACCCCAACAACCTGCCCCCTCGAGAACGCAAAGCAGGCTGCAAGAACTTCTACTGGAAAGGGTTCACTTCCTGCTGAGGCCCTGCCCATCTGCTCACGTGACATCCAGCTGCCAGTTGGGGCCCCCAGCTCAGTACCCTGTGCCACGAAAGGGCCTCCGAGGTCAAATCAAGAGCTGATCAATTCTGCCAATCAGTTGACTGAATGAAATTGTAACTTTGTAATTTATGAAATAAAGTGTAATACTTTATTTAATTTTAAGTCACTTTATGGAGATGTGTGTGAATTTCTTATTGAACAATTAAAAAAGTCAGCATTATCGCCGTGATAAAAGCACAGTGAAATTTGATATAAATTATTTCTCACTTGTAGCTCAGTTATTGCTGTGCACACTTATTTTGCTTATTTTGCAAAAAGAAAAAAATGTTACGTTTTTGTCATTCCTTCAACTTCAAAACAAGCAGAAAATTCAGAAGTGCAGATTCTAACCTGTTGATAGAGAATGTAAATCAAATATAAATGCAAGTCTCCACTGCGTTACTCATTATGTGATTACACAAACAGTAATGTAATTAAGCCTGAATAGTGGCAAAACATCAGTAATAACTTGTGACTTCTAACATGCACACAGTACCAGAATAGAGAGCTGTAACATAGTTTTGTGTTTCTTTGCTCTCAAACCAGTTTTAACTCATGAAGAGCTTGACAAGTACCTGCTGAGTTGAATCAGGGCTGAAGCAAGGAAAATATTCAACTAAATATCACTGTGGTTCTCAGGAAGAGGAGGGTGACATACAATTCGACAAACTTTTGACAGCGAGTCTAAGCTGATACAATATCTCAGAACATGTTTTTGTCTGAGAAAGTAGTTTAACCACATTTTAAAGTGTTTGTCATCTTGTTCTGTGCAGCCAACCTGGACCCTTTTATGGTTAGCCAGTTAGTGAGAGGTATTCTCTCAGTGCATTTGTGGGTGTGTGATTCTGGCAGCCACATTAGCATGATTAGTGATAATTAGTAGACATGAGGGACCCCTACATTTGGTTAAAGACTGAGAGATGCCTTACCTAACCACATGATTAAGAATGACAGGGAGCAAGGGAGGGAAAGATGGATGGTAAGATGGAAAGAGAGCAAGGGCGAATGATCATTGTCCCTGCACGTCATTAACGGTCATCCATAGCAACGTCTGGTTGTGTTAGGAAAGGCAGTAACAGGCGTGGAAGATTGATCACTCGTGAGGTGTGTGGACAAATAGGATACACACACAGACACACATCAGTCTGATGTATTTTTCATTAGTGTGTTATTGGCTGTGAAAGCTGTGCTGGGCTTAGCGCTCTGCCTCCAGAGGCTCACACAGAGATGTGGTGGAAAAGCCAGTTAGTCAGCAGTAATTGTTATTTAATTATGCTCCTGAAAGCAGCGCAAATATTTAGACTCATCTGGTCTGTTTGATTAACAACCTTGAGGAGAGACTTTGTCAGGCATTAAAAATGGCTTTCCACTGAGATGTTTACAAAGCAGTAAAGCAGGCATGTTTTTCTTCTCCACTAGGTGTATGTGTGTGTGTGTGTGTAGTGCCAGGCATGCCTTCATATGTCTGCCTTGCTAGAATATGCATATGGCCAAACAATGCATATGAAAACTTTTAGCTAGCACATTTGTTTTTCAAGTCTTGAAACACAACTTTGAAAACTCTTGAAACTCGCACTCACAATCCAAAGATTCAAGACTCTTTGTTACTTTGTTAGCTCATATCCCTGGTTATATTAAGCACAATTCATCATATTGTGTCATTTAAAAGGCTAAATTCTTGTTTCTTGTAATCGTTGATAGAAGTGAAGATTTATGCCTGCCTCTAAAATGTCTTCTGAGTTTTGACTCTATCACCATGACAGCCACCATCACAACTGTTTAGGAATCTTCACTCTCTCTTCCTTGCAGAAGGCTTCTAATTCTGTAATATTCTTGAACCATCTTTTGTGTGCATAGCATGTTTAAGATCTTCCCACAGTTTTTCAATGATATACAAGTCATGTGACTATGAGGCCTGTTCTAAAAGCTTCAGCTTGTGTTTTGTTGAAGTAGTTCATGGTGGATTTTAAGGTATATTTGGATCATCTTATTTTCAGCTTTTTATCAGGTTCAGTTTCTTTTCTGTGTCACATTTGCTTTCAGAATTTACTGATATTTAGTGGAATCCATTCATCTACCCATGCAGTGTATCCTATGCCACTGTCTGCCATACAACCCCATAATAGATCTAGCCCCATGCAAAACAGTTGATTGAATAGATTTTCTTTTCATCAATCGCTGCTCTTTTTTCCCCCTAAACATACCTTGGTGACTGTGGCCAAAGTTTTTCATTTTACTTCATCAGTCCACAGCACTTGTCTCCAAATGCCCTTAGCTTATCTATATTTTGTTTTGCAGATGTTAACTCAGATGTTGACTTTTGTAATGAGATTTGTTTTGATGACTTTTACATACAGATCATGTTTGTGTTATTTTGCACAGTAGAATGGTACACCAGCACTCCTTTCTCAGCTAAACTGTCTAGCAGGTCCTTTGCTGTCTTTGGTAAACCCTTAGGGGGTTTGGCTTTGTCTTTCGGCCCATACAAGCAGTTCTGTCTGAGAGTTTTGCTGGTCTTCCAGTCCTTGCCTTGACTTTGACAGTTCCCCTTTACTGCCATTGACCATGTTTACATGCAAAGTTTTTTGCCAATCCGATTGAATACATTCTGATTACAGATTAAGACTGAGGTGTTTATATGTTCACTCTACTCAACAATCTGATGAAAATCTTTGTGTATATGCTCACTACAAGTAAACCGATCCAAATTGACGCGCATGTGTGGAGTACCATTTAATGTAAACGTTACCATGACAGCGAGCATCACCTGAGCTCCAGTCCGAGTGAGATGAGTTTCCAGTTGGCGCGCTGGAGTTTTTAACTGATTTAAAACGTCCTTTACATGTCCTTATTAAAGAAGGCTGAGAGGAAGACATAGTGTTCTGAGACACATAAGCTGGATGTCTGTCCCACCGCCGTCTTTTAAAGATCAGAGCATAAACTTCATCTCCTCTGCAGACCAGTTTCTGCTCCGCCATGTTGAACGTTATAAACTTTTGCCAGAGCCGGTTGAGTGCTATGCTTTTGATATGACGCGACACACATGCGCAGAACGTACTTACACATTCCGATTGGAAATGTAATCCTATAGAGGCGTTTACATGGCTATTATTCTTCTATTTAACGGATTATTTACAGGATTACCCACCTTGTTCAATCGGATAGAAATTGTATTCCGAATGGCCTCAATCGGACTAGACTATTCCAATTGAGATGTTTACATGGACGTATTCCGATTGAGCTATTAGTCAGATTATTAACGGATTATCAGGCTGCATGTAAACGTGGCTATTGTTTAGTGGCATTTCAACCAGTGGAAAGTTTGTAAGATGGAAGCTACTGGCAAGTCTTGACCTGCCTAACAGAGTCAATTAAGGCCAAATAAGTTAATAATGTTCTGAGACTTTACAACTGGAAAGATGTCCAACCCTTTTCACATGCTACCACAACTGTTTCCTGTTTTGTTGGTTGTAGTATGGGAAGAGATTGTCTGATTGTAGGAGAAAAGAGGACTTCTGAAATTCTGGACAGCTTCTACTTTAAGCCAGAATACTGGAATTTGACAGAATTTTCTCTCCAACTTAGCTTCAATAATATTTCTTACAGGCACATGTAATCTCTCTCCTAACTTTCTCTGCACAGTGACATCCATGTTATCCCTTCTGAATGCTCCCCTGTCTGCTTCAAACCACATTTCAACATTCATGAGCTCTTTTCTATGGGCTAATGAGCTAAACAGTAAACTCCCAATGTCTCCTATCTCTGCTGTTCACAAAGTCTCTGCAGCACAATCTTGCTGATGGTCGTGAGTTTATGTGGGTGCTCATATAGACAGACAAAACCCTCATTAACTTTCTCGCTATCTTCATCTCTTCTCCACCGGTGTGGTAAAGGGGGCTAAAGGTCTGCATGAATGCCACAAAATCAGATTCATTCACCCCTGCTTCATGCAGAATTTGACTCTTTATTGTGTAAAAGTGTTTCACTGGCATCTTTTGGGCTTCATTGTTTAAAACTGTTTGCCTGTCCCTGTCTGCAGAGATGGAGATAAGCCCTTACTGTCCACCAGCTGTTCAGCTGTCAATCAAATAGCCAGTTCATCATGCTAATCTCATAATGATGAGTCATATTTCCAGCTGACTGACTGCACAATGTAGGAATGGTTCATTTGCTGTAAGCTAACAATTACAGACATATTCCTTATAATCCTGATGTGTGCTGAACTTCACAAAGACTGATGAACCAGAACTTCAAAGAAAGATAATTGTTCAGCTTGCTGTACAGTGACAGTGGTACGTGTGTGTGTGTGTGTGTCTGTGTATCTGAGGGTAACCTTGATTTCTGTAATCTGAAAAATACATGGCTGTAATTATATCTTTATATCTTTATTGAATTAATCATCATGCCTGTTGTATTTAAGCTCTACAAGTATTGTAGTAATACTCACCTAATGAAAAGTTGCCCAATCACATTTTTTTTTTTATCTGCAGTATCTACATAGATACAGCCAAACAAGCTTTCCCATTGATTAAGACCTCAGGAGCTGGACAGAAATCATAATGTGTCAGATTAACTACCAACATTATGAGGATGTTACAGAGCAATCAACCAATAATGTTTTGATTTACAATGGGACCACTTTCTTGAGAAAAAATCACTAGGCCTCCTGGTAGTCCTAGTTTTGACACCCAAATTCAATTACATATTTTGTTGATTTTCTGAGTAAAAAACAACCATGCATACTGTAAAGAGAACACATTTTAATGCACAATTGCTGTTTATTTGCTGATGCTAATATATTAGGGAAAAAATAAGTAAAGAGTCAAAAGTTAATGCACATTTTATATCTTGTGTGTAATTTTTCTCAGACTGTTAAACTTTGCAGAAAAATATTTAAGTTTGTTCCTTTTAGGGGTTGTAACATATTTTTACTCAACAAAGAAAATCAACAAAACATGTAAATTTACCAGAGATATCCAAACTTTTGCACACACAAATGATAGTCTAACCAGATTTCAGTCAGTTGTTAGAAATAAAAACCACTGATGGCAGCTTTACTGAAGGAGTCACCATAAAACTGCTACAGACAAAGTCAAAAATGTTCATGTGCATTGACTTTAGCTTAGTG